CAGATTTGGACATCATCTGCATAGAGATAACATCGCATTCCGAAACTCCGAATGATCTCTCCCAACGGCTTCCCAACCTATATATAGGTTTCATATAATCTTTACTTTATAAATGAGGTTTGGAATTATTCCCTTTGCCTTTCTTTTATGTCCTATTCTTGTGCTGTTTCTCTATCCGCTCCATGGGTTTCACCACAAACATCGTTGTCAACAGATTTCCTTTTCTTAATTAGAAACGTATCAATATTAGTGGCAATTATGGCAAGTGAATCGACAAATTGTAAAAGTCATCGCAGTCCCTACCTTAGATGTCTCCCATGAGTCATCCTTTAAAATATCTAAACATGGCTCCTCTCAGCCTTCTTTTCTCTTCTCTTCAAGCCGCTCCTCAGAGGGATTGATTCTTCATGGCCTCTAGGCTTTTGGCCATTTTGTTGGCCCTCCTGTGGTCATTTTCCATCTCGTCAATAGGCTTGCAATAGATTCAGGACCTCGGACAGCTCCTTAAAACCTGGGCCATCCTTTAAAATATCTATGGCTCCTCTCAGCCTTCTTTTCTCTTCTCTTCTCTTCAAGCCGCTCCTCAGAGGGATTGATTCTTCATGGCTTTTAGGCTTTTGGCCATTTTGTTGGCCCTCCTATGGTCCTCTTCCATCTCGTTGATAGGCTTGCAATAGATTCAGGACCTCGGACAGCTCCTTAAAACCTGGGCCATCCTTTAAAATATCTAAATATGGCTCCTGTCGGCCTTCTTTTCTCTTCTCTTCAAGTCGCTCCTCAGAGGGATTGATTCTTCATGGCTTTTAGGCTTTTGGCTATTTTGTTGGCCCTCCTATGGTCCTCTTCCATCTCGTTGATAGGCTTGCAATAGATTCAGGACCTTGGACAGCTCCGTAAACCCTGGAGTGCCATTGCCATTCTTGTCAGTGAAGCCCTTTGTAGTAGTTGAGGCCTGTCATGGAGACCCATTAGTAGTAGTTGGGGCCTACTATCCTTGACACCCATTCATAGGAATTAGGGTCTGTCATTGAGACCCCTTCATAGTAGTTAAGGCCGAACTATTGTTCAGTCCCGTTCACAGTAGTTGGGGCCTAGTTATCCTTGAAGTCAAGTTACATTATTAGGCCCCATAACTGAAGCCTGCTTGCAGTAGTTGGGGTCTAACTGTCATAGAGACCCATTCACATAATTGGGACCTATTTTTGAAGCCTAACTATGGTTGAGGAGGCTCATTGGCAGTAATTAGGGCCTGTCATGGAGACCCATTCATAGTCGTTGGGGCCTACTATTGTTGACCCCATTCACAGTTATTAGAGCCTGCCACTGAGGCTTCTTCGCCATAATTGAGGCCTGTCATAGAGACCCATTTGCAATACTTGGGACCTAACTATTATTGAGGCCCATTCACATAATTAGGCCCTGTCACTGAGGCTCACTCTCAGCAGTTGGGGCTTAACTGTCATAGACACCCATTCGCAGTAGTTGGGGCCTAATATCCTTGAGGTCCAGTCACATAATTAGGCCCTAACTGTCTTTGAAGCCCATTCACAGTAGTTGTTAAGGCCTAACTATTGTTTCAGAGGCCTGTTTGCAGTAGTGAGAGGGCCTGTCATAGAGATCCATTCTCATTAGTTGGGGCCTAACTATGGTTGAGGAGACCCATTGGCAGTAATTAGGGCCTGTCATGGGGACCCATTCACAGTAGTTGGGGCCAACTATTGTTGAGTCCCATTTACAGTGGTTAGAGATGAACTAACTATCATTGAGGCCCATTCACATAATTAGGCCGTAACTGTCACTGAGGCCCACTCCCAGCAGTTGGGGTCTAACTGTCATAGAAGTTAGAGCCTTCTATCATTGAAGTCGATTCGCAGTAGTTGGGGCCTGTCATAGAGACCTATTCATAGTAGTTGTTAAGGCCTAACTATAGTTGAGGAGGCCTGTGCAAAGTTGTGGTAGAGGCCCATTGGCAGTAATTAGGGCCTAACTGGCATAGAGACCCACTCACAGTAGTTGGGGCATACTATCATTGAGGAGGCCCATTAGCAGTAATTAGGGCTTGTTACTGAGAATGGCCATCAGACTGGAAAAAATCAACTTATATCCCAATACCAAAAAAGGGAAATGCGAAAGACTACTCAAACTTCCGTACAGGATTGCAGAGAAACAACTGGAAAAGCTGACACGATATGAGGATTTGAAAGTCAAACTGGAAAGACTCTGGCACAAGCCAGTAAAGGTGGTCCCACTGGCAATCGGCACACTGGGTACAGTGCCTAAAGACCTTGGCATGCACTTAATCACAGTTGGCACTGACAAAATTACAACCTGCCAGCTGCAAAAGGCCACCTTACTGGGATCYGCATGCATTATTCGCTGATACATCACACAGTCCTAGACACTTGGGAAGGGTCCGACATGTGATCCAATACAACAGCCGGCAGAGTGACCTTGTTTGCTGTGTACTAATCTTTTTGTGTTGCAAATAATAATAATAATAATAATAATAATAATAATAATAATAATGATAATCACACAATCCTAGATGCTTGGGAAGTATTCGACTTGTGATTTTGTGATACAAAATCCAGCATAGAGATCTCATTTGCTGTGATATACTATGTTTTTGTGTCAGTAAAATAATAATAATAATAATAATAATAATAATAATAATATTCTGACAGATGGCCTTAGCTCTRAAATCTCAGACATTGTGACAGAAAGCGTGGTTTCCCACAGGCTTGTGCTGTAGCATCACACAAGTGTAGTGTAGGCAATACCCTTGTGAAGGTTTGCAGCTGAAAGCCCGCATCCTCTTCCCTTCCTTCCTTGGTTTGTTTGTTGGGAGATAGCTAAACGTGTCCATACACTGGGAGGTTTGATGGTCACCCAATGGCCCACCCTGATGGCACTTCATAGTTGTGTCAGTTGTTGGAAGTACAGTAGAGTCTCACTTATCCAACCTTCGCTCATCCAACATTCTGCATTATCCAACACAGTCTGCCTCCCGCCCGGATCCACAGCTGTTTCAATACTGTGCAATGTTTGGTGCTAAATTCGTAAATACAGTAATTGCTACATAATGTTGCTGTGTATTGAACTGCTTTTTTCTGTCAATTTGTTGTAAAACATAATATTTTGGTGCTTAATTTGTGTTGCAACCCAGAGCAGGAAACGAGACCATAACATAACAATCCACCACACTTGACTGTGGGAAAAAACAATCCCTTTTTATTAATGAAAAATGGTTACAAAATAGAAGAAAATGCAAAGTCAAAAAGCCACAGTGAAATTCAGCAGTCAAGAATATCCATGAACTAGATCCAAAATCCAAAAGCAACACTGTAAAAACCTGGAACCTGTTAGCAATTCACTAACCGTACTTGGAGCACTAGAAGCCTCTTGGGATGTAGGCCACGGGAAATGGGAAATCTGCCAAGGTAATGCCTCAGTCTAAACGATGCCTGATCTAACAAGACAACCTAGYGAGAGGCACTTAAAACTGAAAAAACTGTTTCGTGACACGCCTCCAGGCTTTGAAGCCTGTGTTTCCTTCTCCCTTAATCTGCTTGACCTTCGCAGACTGTTTTTTTCCAAATCTGTCTTTTTCTATCCTCATTAAGGAACCCAGGTGCTAACTCCTCTGAAAAGCTATCACCGCTTGGCTCTGCAACATTCTCATCAGGATGTGTAGTTTCACTTTCCAAGCCACTGACCTCAGAATCAACACTTTCATTACCACCAGGGAAAAATACATGTTCAGTAACATCAGGACATACAATCAGAGAATCAGGTTCAGGTTCACACACAGGCTGAACCCCAACAATTTGTAAAATCATAAAGTAATTTGACATTTAATAGGGTTTCCCCTAATCTCTCTGTATTATGCAACATTTTTGCTTATCCAACGTCCTGCCGGCCCTTTTATGTTGGCTAAGCGAGACTCTGCTGTATGGCTGTTTCATACCTGCTGCGTTTTGTGCCTTGTGTCCGAAGGCCACGTCACGACTGCGGGAAAGAGGCTGCGACGGCTGCTTGGCCGGCCTTGAGGTCCAGCAACTCTTCTGCTCCCAGAGCGTGGCCATCCCTGAGCACCAGCTGAAGGAACTCAACTTGAAAATAGACAGCGCTCTGCAGGTGAGGGGCCGATGGGGTTGTCTCTGCTTGGATGGAAACATGATTATTATTGTTGTTATTATTATTACCATTACCATTACCATCATTATCATAATTGTTATTATTATCATCATCATTATCATTATTAACATCATTTTCATTATTGTTGTCATTATTATTATCATCATTATCATTATTACCATATTATCTTTATTAATAATGTCATTATTATAGTTCTCATATTTATTTTATCATTATTATCATTATTCTATCATCATTATTATCATTATTGTTATTATCACCATCATTATTAATTTTCTCATTATTATTTCATTGTCATTATCAACATTATTATCACTATTAACATCATTTTCATTATTGTTATAATAATTATTTTTACCATCATTACTATCACTATAATTATTACCATTGTTATTACCATATTATCATTATTAATAATGCCATTATTATAGTTCTCATATCATTATTATCATCATTATTGTTATTATCACCATCATTATTATTATTCCCATCATTATGATCATTACTGTCATCATTATTTTTATCATTATTAACATCATTTTCATTATTGTTATAATTATCATCATCATTATTACCATTATTATTACCATATTATTAATAATGTCATTATTATTGTTATATTTATATCATTATTATTATTGTTATTATTATTATTTTCATTATTATATCATTATTATTGTCATAATTATTTTTGTCATTATTAACATCATTTTCATTATTGTTAAAATTATTATCATCACTATTACCATTATTATTATTACCATATTATCCTTATTAATAATGTCATTATTATTGTTATCATATTTATTTCATTATTATTATTGTTATGATCATTATTATTATTTTCATTATTATATCATTATTATCATTATTGTCATCATTATTTTTATCATTATTAACATCATTTTCATTATTGTTATAATTATTATTATCATAATTATTATCATTATTATTACCATATTATAATTATTAATAATGTCATTGTTATCATATTTATTATATCATTATTATCATTATTATTGTTATTATCATAATTATCATTATTGTCATCATTATTTTTATCATTATTAACATCATTTTCATTATTGTTATAATTATTATTATTATTATTATTACCATATTATCATTATTAATAATATCATTATTAATAATATCATTATTATTGTCATCATATTTATTATATCATTATTATCAGTATTGTAATTATCATTATTATTATCATTATTATATCGTTATTATTATGATCATCATTATTATCAGCATAATAATTATTATTATTATCATTATTCATGTATTGTCAAAGGCTTTCATGGCTGGAATCACTGGAGTGTTGTGTGGTTTCTTGCCGGTATCATCATGATCATGATTATAATCAGTATCATCATTGTTATTATCAGCATCTTTGCTATCATCATCATCATCATCATCATCATCATTATTATTATTATTATCAGCATAGGGTACCAAAAAATACCAAAAAAGGGAAATGTGAAAGACTGCTCAAACTTCCGTACAGTGGCCCTTATTTCTCATGCCAGTAAGGTAATGCTCAAGATCCTGCAAGGAAGACTCCAGCAATACATGGAGCGAGAGTTGCCAGATGTTCAAGCTGGGTTTAGAAAAGGCAGAGGAACGAGAGACCAAATTGCCAATATCCATTGGATAATGGAGAAAGGCAGGGAGTTTCAGAAAAACATCTACTTCTGCTTCATTGACAATTCTAAAGCCTTTGACTGTGTGGATCATAATAAATTGTGGCAAGTTCTTAGTGGGATGGGCATCCCAAGCCACCTTGTCTCTCTCCTGAGGAATCTGTACAAGGACCAAGTAGCAACAGTCAGAACTGACCACGGAACAACAGACTGGTTCAAGATTGGGAAAGGCGTACGGCAAGGCTGCATCCTCTCACCCAACCTTTTTAACTTGTATGCAGAACACATCATGCGATGTGCGGGGCTGCATGAATGCAAAGCTGGGGTGAAAATTGCTGGAAGAAACATAAAAACCTCAGATATGCAGATGACACCACTCTGATGGCCGAAAGCGAGGAGGAGCTGAGGAGCCTTCTAATCAAGGTGAAAGAAGAAAGCGCAAAAGCCGGGTTGCAGCTAAACGTCAAAAAAACCAAGATTATGGCAACAAGAATGATTGACAATTTGAAAATAGAGGGAGAAACCGTGGAGGCCGTGACAGACTTTGTATTTCTAGGTGCAAAGATTACTGAAGATGCAGACTGTAGCCAGGAAATCAGAAGACGCTTACTTCTTGGGAGGAGAGCAATGTCCAGTCTCGATAAAATAGTGAAGAGTAGAGACATCAGACTGGCAATGAAGATCTGCATAGACAAAGCAATGGTATTCCCTGTAGTAACCTACGGATGTGAGAGCTGGACCTTAGGGAAGGCTGAGCGAAGGAAGATAGATGCTTTTGAGCTGTGGTGTTGGAGGAAAGTTCTGAGAGGGCCTTGGACTGCGAGAAGATCCAACCAGTCCATCCTCCAGGAAATAAAGCCCGACTGCTCACTGGAGGGAAGGATACTAGAGACAAAGTTGAAGTACTTTGGCCACATCATGAGGAGACAGGAAAGCCTAGAGAAGATAATTATGCTGGGGAAAGTGGAAGGCAAAAGGAAGAGGGGCCGACCAAGGGCAAGATGGATGGATGGCATCCTTGAAGTGACTGGACTGACCTTGAGGGAGCTGGGGGTGGTAACGGCCGACAGGGAGCTCTGGCGTGGGCTGGTCCATGAGGTCACGAAGAGGCGGAGACGACTGAACGAATGAACAACAACAACAACAGCATAGGGTAAAAGCAGTTGTCATTAATGCCAGGAAGCTAACAAGAGCACCTGCTTTCGGTTGGGCCCCTTTGGGCTCTCTTTTTACTGGCAAAAAAGAGAGAAATAATTTGAAAAGATCAATTTATTTATTTTTTTTACTATGTTTATACCCCGCTCTTCTCAACCCCAAAGGGGACTCAGAGTGGCTTACAGATTATGGCAAAATTCAGTGACGTATTATACAACAAATAATAAATATAACAACAAATACATATGAAAATCAATACATAAACAAAGCAGTAATCAATTCAGTATGGGTGAGGAATGTCATGCCATCCGTGTCTTGCAAACTGTGAGACTAAGTTTGGAGGCTGATTCAGAGAAGAAATGTAGAACCTGTCTTTCAAAAGTCACACAAAGGGATGGGTTCCTTGCCCTCCTCTTTGAGAGTCTCAGGGTTTAAGGAGGTAAACGATACGCAGTGCTCCTTGTTTTCCCAGCTGTGTGACGTGGTTGTGTTTCTTTTTTTTAAACCAGGCGTATAAAGTGGCCTTGGAAAGCCTGGGCCACTGTGAATATGCAATGAAAGCCGGCTTCCACTTGAACCCAAAGGCGATTGAAGCGAGCCTCCAGGTGAGTTCTTCCCTCAAATTTGTGTATAGAATCATTTGGTTGGAAGAGACCCCAAGGGCCATTTAGTCCAACCCCTTTCTTCCTGTTAGGCAGGAAAAACATGACCAAGGCACCCCTGACAGATGGCCATCCACTGTTCTTCCTCCGTCTCCTGCACGTAGGCCAGATTGCTTCCCTACAAACCTGCCACTTTTCCAGTACTTCCAATACGCATTCTTCCTTTTCCTCTGAGAAAGAAGCAAGTGACCCGACTCTTGAGTTCTGTTACAGATCTGCCACCCTGCAAATACGCACCATACTTTTCCAAAACACACTTCTTCCCTTCCAACCTGAGAAGGAGGCAGACAACAAGACTTCTCCGTTGCCCTGCAAATACACCACCCCTGTCCTTCCCATGGAACAGAGCACAGTGGGTGGATCAGACTCCACTGGTCTGCCACAATTTTGGAATATTAGAAAGTCTCTTATATAGCCATTTTCTTGCTGATTCTGTTCCAAAAGATGAAGAATAAATGAGTGACAGGTTGTTTTCCAGCCTGAAACTTGCCGTGACTGCATTTCTGTGTACGAACCCACACGATCTCTCCAATCATCTGGAGCGGCCCTGCTCTCATTCCCACCCCCTTCACAGGCGCAATTGGTGGGGACGAGGGAGAGGGCCTCCTCCGTGGTGGCTCCCCAACTCTGGAACTCACTTCCCAAAGATATCAGACAAGTCCCCACATTGGCAGTCTTTAGGAGGAGCTTGAAAACGTGGCTGTTCTAGTGTGCCTTCCCTGAATAAAGGAAACAATGCCCTGCAAAATGTTCTCAGAAACACTTTAACTACCCATTGGGTTGCTCTCCCTACGTTTCCTTTAAAACCCTCCTGCTTAGATACATCCTACCTCTGTTCACGCCCAGTGTTTATTTTTAAATTTTTAAACTATTATTACATCTGGCCCAGCCATAGGTTTTTAAATTTTTGCGTGTTATTGTCTATATGTGAGTTATATCAATTGTATTGTTTTATTTGCTTATTGCTTTGTTGTTTTTACTGATGTGTTGTTGGGCTCGGCCTCATGTAAGCCGCCCCGAGTCCCCTTGGGGAGATGGTGGCGGGGTATAAATAAATTTTTATTATTATTATTATTATATTATTATTCCCATCAGTTCTTGGACAGATGTTGACTTGGCTTCTTTCAGTGCTAATTGGTTTTCCTTCTTAAGGAGAACTGTTTGCTTCCTTCCTTGTAAACATGTCCTTACTTAAAAGAGCTATTGTCTTTGGTAATGCAAACATGTTGTTTCCCACCAAGAGTTCAACAGTTAATCATTTGTCTCCAGTCAGCAGTTCAGCAACTTTTAATTACAATCCAGCAGTGTTGTTGTTTTTCAGCCCTCAATATTTTAGAATTGTGTCTTTCATACAATTTCATGCAAACCATAAAGTATTATTATTATTATTATTATTATTATTATTATTATTATTATTATTCCCATCAGTTCCTGGACAGATGTGGACTTGACTTCTTTCAGTTATAATTGGTTTTCCTTCTTAAGGAGCACTGTTTGCTTCCTTCTAAACGTAAGGAACCTTGTAAACATGTCCTTACTTAAAAGAGCCATTGTCTTTGGTAATGCAAACATGTTGTTTTCCACCAAGAGTTCAACAGTTAATTGTTTGTCTCTGGTCAACAGTGTCAGCAGTTCAGCAACTTTTAATTACAATCCAGCAGTGTTGTTGCTTTTCAGCCCTCAATATTTTAGAATTGTGTCTTTCATACAATTTCACGCAAACCATACATCCTATTTCATGAGATTCTCCCCACTCGTTTCCCGTTGAAGGGCTGCTGCAGCGATGCGGAGGCCCAGCAGGCCGGGCGGAGGCAGACCCCTCCCCAGCCCATCCAGTGCGAGCTGCCCACCGTCCCCATCCAGATCGGGCCCCACTTCTTGAAAGGCATCTCCTTCAACGAGTCGGCGGCCGAGAACCTCAAGCTGAAAACGGTAAGGCTGGGAAAAGAACAACCATCCCGTCTTGAATCCAATCTTGTTGTATTGTTTTGCAAAGCATTTGAAAACTGCATTAATACATTATTAGATGTGTGTAGGGGGATGATTGACCACCCCCTTGCAATCATGTTTCTGTTGGAAAGAATCCAGATGTAGGCCCTGGGTTTCCTCCTCCGTCATGTTTTGCTCTTTTACCTTTGGCAGCACACGATGATCCAGCTGATGAAAGAGGCCGGGTGCCACAACGGGGTGACCCCGCGGGACGACTCCCCTGTGACGGAGGTCCTGAACCAAGTCTGCCCATCCACGTGGCGTGGAGCCTGCAAGACGGCGGTGCAGCTACTCTTCGGGCAAGCTGGATTGGTAAGTGGCCGGAGGGATCCAAGTCTGGGAAAGGCCTCGAAAGAGAGACAGGGAAGATCACTGAAAGCCTTCAACAATACATCTATCGTTTTGGAGTAACTCCAGGAACAACTGTAGGAGAAAATACCCGTTGATCAGAAGACGGTAAGGTCTGGGCCTCCAATTTAGAGAAGGAATTCAACACCACGTCCATTTTAGAGCTAATTAGCAGCAAGGTAATTAGCTGCAAGGAGCCCCTGGTGGCCAGCAGGTTAAACCGCTGAGCTGCTGAACTTGCTGACCAAAAGGTTGCCGGTTTGAATCTGGGGAGCGGCGTGAGCCCCTGCTGTTAGCCCTAGCTTCTGCCAACCTAGCAGTTTGAAAGCATGCAAATGTGAGTAGATCAACAAGTACCACTCCAGCGGGAAGGTAACGGTGCTTCATGCAGTCATGCCGACCACACGACTTTGGAGGTATCTACAGAGAAAGAGGAAACGGAGAATCAGCTCCAAATGACTCTGTGACTATTATGTGAGGGAAACAGAAATACCAGTTTTGGTGCCCAAAAAATGGTGCAACTATTGCACTATGTAAGAATTTTTTTTAAATGTCCTGTTCCTATTTAATTGTGCAGTACTTGTTTTGAAAGTAATTGAGATTCTCCAGAAACTTTGTTTGTGTGACTGCCACAAGTTAGGCTGAATTAATTGAGGCTTGATAGTGAGAGATTCATTGTAAAACTATAGCAAAATAMGCTGCAGGGTGTCCTTCCTGCAGAAACAAATCATAAACTTGTTCCATATTTTTATGATAGAGCCAYTTAGGCAGTGACGTTGATAACCTGGGACCAAAAATGATGCTAAGTGGTGGCYACTGTTATGTGATGAAATGGTGTTATGTGGTGGCGACTGTTATGTGATGAAATGGTGTTATGCGGTGGCAACTGTTATGTGATGAAATTGTGTTATGCGGTGGCGACTGTTATGTGATGAAATGGTGTTAWYCYGTGGTGACTGTTATGTGATGAAATGGTGTTAAGCGGTGGCGACTTATGTGATGAAATGGTGTTATGCGGTGGCYACTGTTARGTGATYAAATGSTGTTATGCGGTGGCGACTGTTATGTGATGAAATGGTGTTAWGRGGTGGCGACGGTTATGTGATGAAATGGTGTTATGTGGTGGCAACTGTTATGTGATGAAATTGTGTTATGCGGTGGCGACTATTATGTGATGAAATGGTGTTAAGCAGTGGTGACTGTTATGTGATGAAATGGCGTTAAGCGGTGGTGACTGTTATGTGATGAAATGGTGTTAAGCGGTGGCGACTGTTATGTGATGAAATGGTGTTATGCGGTGGCGACTGTTATGTGATGAAATGGTGTTAAGCGGTGGCGACTTATGTGATGAAATGGTGTTATGCGGTGGCGACTGTTACGTGATGAAATGCTGTTATGCGGTGGCGACTGTTATGTGATGAAATGGTGTTATGCGGTGGCGACGGTTATGTGATGAAATGGTGTTATGTGGTGGCGACTATTATGTGATGAAACATGGTATGTTACAACACCTGGAGGGAGGGCCCAAGTTTGCCCATGCCTTGGACCCCGTGTTGGCATCAAGGTGGAATATCAGTTCACTAATCCTTGGTGGAATCCAGTATCCAAGGAGGGGGGAAATTGTGATTTTTGCCAGAGTTTCCAGAGCTCTTGAACTTGCATCCCAGTGGCATCCATTGCTTCGATAGCCATCTGGGTGGGAGACCTGGAGGAAACATCTGCCAAGCTAGAACAATGGCCCTTGAGAGTCACTTCCCGGCTGTGTGTGTGAAACCATCCTTGGCTGTACTTTCCGCAGAGTTCAGGTCAAGGAAGCGTGAGTCAGTGGCGCGTGAGTCAGTCCGTTGAAAACGCGGGTGGCATAAAACCCTTGCATTCCCCGAATGGCACATTGAATGTCAGAAACCTGGAAAAGGCCAAGCGTCGTTGGATTTAGAGGAAGTCCTTGCAACCGGATTGGGAGAGGGCCTCTTTGGGGCTCCGCTTTTCTCCGTCCTCTTTGTGTCGGCCCTACAAAGACCCGCTGTCATAACAGAGAACTGTTTGTGTTCAATCCCAGTCCCGATCTGGCCACACTTGGTGACCTTTGCTGGAATGTAGGTTTGCTTCCCTTTTAAGTTTTGTGACCTGTGTAGTAGTTGCTGGAGGCTAAATAGGTGCAGGCTCCCTCCCAGTCTTTCCTTTGGTGGAAACTGCCCAGATTTCGATGGGTCTCCTCTCTATCCAGCGAAGCCTGGCATTTCAAGTCCTCCCTTTTTCTCTTTATTGCATTTGGGAAAATAAATACATTTACCCATATTTAGGGTAAATAAATCTATATAAATTAAAATGTAATGTTTGTTTGTGGGATTAACAGAACTCAAAAACCACTGGACAAATGGACACCAAATTTGGACACAAGACACCTCTCAGGCCAAAGAGTGACCATCACTCATAAAAACACTGAGAAACATAGCAGAAGGGACTTTAAAAGCCCCCAAAAAAACCCCATTACAACGCATGCACAAAACCACATATATACACAAACACATATACACAAATATATACACACACATACATGCATATATATACACACAAAACACATATACACAGAAAGGAGGGAGGGAGGGAGGGAGGAAGAAGGGAGTGAAAGAAGGAAAGAAGGGAGGAAGGAAGGAGAGACGGAAGGAAAGAAAGGTAAAGAAGGAAGGAAAGAGAGAAGGAAATAAAAAAGTGAAAGAAGGAAGGAAAGAGAGAGGGAAGGAAAAAAGAGAAGGGAAACGAGAGAAAGAGGAAGGGAAGGAAGAAGGATGGAACCAAAGAGCAAAGGATGGAAGGAAAGAAACAGGTAGAGAAAGAAGAAGAAGAAAAAAAGAAGGAAGGAGGGAGGGAGAGAGAGAGAGGAGGGAGAGAAAGAGGGAAGGAAAGAAGGAAGGAAGGAAGGAAGGAAGGAAGGAAGGAAGGAAGGGAGGGAGGGAAAAAAGGAAGGAAGGTAGAGAAGGAAGGAAAGAGAGAAGGAAATAAAAAAGTGAAAGAAGGAAGGAAAGAGAGAGGGAAGGAAGGAGAGAAGGGACAAAAGAGAGAAAGAGGGAGGGAAGGAAGGGAAGGAAGAAGGATGGAACCAAAGAGCAAAGGATGGAAGGAAAGAAACAGGTAGAGAAAGAAGAAGAAGAAAAAAAGAAGGAAGGAAGGAGGGAGGGAGAGAGAGGAGGGAGAGAAAGAGGGAAGGAAAGAAGGAAAGAAGGAAGGAAGGGGAAAAAGGAAGAAAGGTAGAGAAGGAAGGAAAGAGAGAAGGAAATAAAAAAGTGAAAGAAGGAAGGAAGGAGAGAAGGAACGAAAGAAAGAGGGAGGGAAGGAAAGGAAAAAGAAAAGGAAGGAAGAAGGAGAAAAAGAGAAAAGGAAGGAAGGAAAAGGAAGAAAGAAGAAGAAGAAAGGAAGGAAGGAAGGAGGGAGAGAAAGAGGGAAGAGAAGGAAGAAGGAAAGAAGGAAGGAAGGGGAAAAAGAAAGAAAGGTAGAGAAGGAAGGAAGGAGAGAAGGAAATAAAAAAGTGAAAGAAGGAAGGAAAGAGAGAGGGAAGGAAGGAAGAAAGGAGAGAAGGAACGAAAGAGAGAAAGAGGGAGGGAAGGAAGAAGGATGGAACCAAAGAGCAAAGGATGGAAGGAAAGAAACAGGTAGAGAAAGAAGAAGAAGAAAAAAAGGAAGGAAGGAGGGAGGGAGAGAGAGAGGAGGGAGAGAAAGAGGGAAGGAAGGAAGGAAGGGAAAAAAGGAAGAAAGGTAGAGAAGGAAGGAAAGAGAGAGGGAAGGAAGGAAGGAAGGAGAGAAGGAACGAAAGAGAGAAAGAGGGAGGGAAGGAAGGAAGGAAAGAGAGAAGGAAGGAGGGAACCAAAGAGCAAAGGGAGGGAGTTAAGAAACAGAGAAGGAAGGAAGAAGAAGGGAAAGGAGAAGGGAAAGAAAAACAGGGAAGGAAGGAAGGAAAGAGGGAGGGAAGAAAGGAGAGAAAGAGGGAGGGGAAGGTTGGCCACAGCAACGCGTGGCAGGCACAGCTAGTAGGATTAATAAATATATTTGGCAATTACACTATGTAACAAAATTTGAAAAATGTTCTGTTCCTGGTTTGAAGGCCTTATTTCCTGTCTAATTGTGCAGTCCTTACTTTGAAAGTAGTTGTTTTCCTCCAGAAACTTTGTTTGTGTGGCTGCCACAAAGTAGGTTGAATTGGGTGAGACTCAATGGTGAGAGATTCATTGAAAAACGAGAGCAAAGTGTGCTGCCGCAGGATGATGTCCCTCCCGCGAACAACAAAGTTTGGGCGGTTTAAGAAACTTTTCCAATGTTTTTATGATAGAACCAATTAGGAAATGACATTTATAAACCAGGAGCAGAAATTGTATTGCATGTGTAATATATTATAATTATATAATAATGTAATATAATAATTATTATCTAATAATATAATATTTATTTCATGTCAAAAGCATTGCATACATAATTTTATTTATTTATTTAGTATATTTATATACTGCCTTTCTCACAATGCCCACCAAACCCTTTCAGTATAGTAGAACCAATTAGGAAATGACCTTGATGACCCAGGAACAAAAATTGTGTTTCATAGTGTAATACGTTATAATTTTAATTGTATAATAATATGATATGATTATAATATAATGATATGATATAATAATTAATATAATATTATATAATAAATTACATAGTTATATAATATTATATTATGATAGAACCAATTAGGAAATTGCATTTGTAACCCAGGGACAAAAATTGTGTTAGATAGTGTTGCCAGAGACAAGAAGGAGCACTTCATACCCTTAGAATCATAGAATCAAAGAGTTGGAAGAGACCTCCTGGGCCATCCAGTCCAACCCCATTCTGCCAAGAAGCAGGAATATTGCATTCAAATCACCCTGACAGATGGCCATCCAGCCTCTGTTTAAAAGCTTCCAAAGAAGGAGCCTCCACCACACTCCGGGGCAGAGAGTTCCACTGCTGAACGCTCTCACAGTCAGGAAGTTCTTCCTCATGTTCAGATGGAATCTCCTCTCTTGTAGTTTGAAGCCATTGTTCCTGCATCTCCAGGGAAGCAAACAAGCTTGCTCCCTCCTCCCTGTGGCTTCCTCTCACATATTATACATGGCTATCATATCTCCTCTCAGCCTTCTCTTCTTCAAGCTAAACATGCCCAGCTCCTTAAGCCGCTCCTCATAGGGCTTGTTCTCCAGACCCTTGATCATTTTAGTCGCCCTCCTCTGGACACATTCCAGTTTGTCAATCTCTCTTGAATTGTGGTGCCCAGAATTGGACACAATATTCCAGGTGGTCTAACCAAAGCAGAATAGAGGGGTAGCATTACTTCCTAGATCTAGACACTATGCTCCTATTGATGCAGGCCAAAATCCCATTGGCTTTATTTGTATTGTATTGTATTATATTATATTATATTATATTATATTAATAAACATTTCCCATGTTTTTATGATAGAACCAATTAGGAAATTGCATTTGTAACCCAGGGACAAAAATTGTGTTAGACAGTGTTGCCAGAGACAAGAAGAGGCACTCCATGAACGTCCGTCCATACCCTTCCGAATGGAAAATTCCTTGTGACCAGATGCGTGGGGGTTAAATGTAAAACAGGCCACCGTCCAGCTTCTGGCAGCCTGTTTTGATAGTTTGAGGAACGGTATTCTTTCCTCCCAAATTCCAGATTCAGACTGTTTTTATTCCCGATCAGGTGGTTGTGGACACAGCGCAGATCGAAAACAAAGAAGCCTATGCGCCTCAGATCAGCTTGGAAGGCTCCAGGATTGTGGTTCAAGTGCCCTCGACTTGGTAATTACGATTTACTGCTTATTTATTTCTCGTGTCAGGGCAGCCAGTCAATTATATTACATTTCTAACAGAACAAAGCAAACAAACAGAGAAAATACAAAATTGTGAGTTTGGTAGTTGATTAAATGTCCTTTGACCAGTATCTGGCCACTTGGAGTGCTTCTGGTGTTGCTGCAAGGAGGTCCTTCATTGTGCATGTGGCAGGGCTCAGGTTGCATTGCAGCAGGTGGTCAGTGGTTTGCTCTTCTCCACACTCGCATGTCGTGGATTCCACTTTGTAGCCCCATTTTTTAAGATTGGCTCTGCATCTCATAGTGCAGTCCAGAGCCTTCCAAGTCGCCCAGTTTCTGTGTGCCCAGGGGGGAGTCTCTCATTTGGTATCAGCCATTGGTTGAGGTTCTGGGTTTGAGCCTGCCACTTTTGGACTCTCGCTTGCTGAGGGTGTTCCAGCGAGCGTCTCTGTAGATCTTAGAAAACTATTTCTTGATTTAAGTCGTTGACGTGCTGGCTGATACCCAAACAGGGGATGAGCTGGAGATGTCTCTGCCTTGTCCTTTCACTATTGGCTGCTACTTCCCGGCGGATGTCAGGTGGTGCAATGCCGGCTAAGCAGTGTAATTTCTCCAGTGGTGTAGGGCGCAGACACCCCGTAATGATGCGCGGTATGTCTCATTCAGAGCCACATCCACTGAGATGTGTTCCACACTGGGCATGCATACTCAGCAGCAGAGTAGCATAGTGCAAGGGGATGTCTTCACTGTATCTGGTTGTGATCCCCAGGTTGTGCCAGTCAGCTTTCGTATGATATTTTTCTAGCAACCACTTTTTGCTTGATGTTCAGGCAGTGCTTCTTGTAGGTCAGAGCACGGTCCAGAGTGACTCCCAGGTATTTGGGTTGCTGCAATGCTCCAGTGGGATTCCTTCCCAGGTCATCCTCAGAGCTTGGGATGCTTGTCCGTTCTTGAGATGAAAGGCACATGTCTGTGTTTTAGATGGGTTGGGGATTTACTGCTTGAGTAAAAGCCTTAAAAAATAGAGAGAGAGGGGTGGTGGGGCCTGAGTAACCTTGATGATGTTTTGATGGACTAATCAGAAGAAGGACTTCTTCCTTAGGTGCCTGAAAGAAGACCCTGCGACCATGTCTTTGCTGCAGAGGAGCCTGGACCCAGAGAAGACCTTGGGCCTGGTGGATGTGCTCTACACGGCCGTGTTTGACCTCAACCGGTGGAAAGAAGGAAGGTGGGTGGCGCTTGTGCACTTGGACTTGGCTCTAGGGGACAGGAGAGGAGCGAGACACATGCGGGGGAAGTGTGTGCAGAAGTGTGCGCCTCAGAGGAAATGGTTTGGACCATTCTCTGGTGTACGGAGCCTGTGTTTGATGGAGGACTTTTATCATTCATGTATTTGCCTCTTTGGCACAATATCAAGTGCAAAGGCCTTTATTGCACATGCTTGGCCTGTAAGCAATGAGTGTCCTATGAAGCCCATTTTTCTAACCCTTGAATGTAGTGGTAGTAATTATCATTTTATTTCTTACCCGCCTTAACGCGGATTATAGAATAATTAAAACACATGAACAATGGCACGCCCCAACTTTGGCTGTCTTTAGGAGGAGCATGAAAACGTGGTTGTTTCAGTGTGCCTTCCCAGAATAAGGAAACTCCCAGCAATATGTCCCTAAACACTCTTTATTAGTGATTTAAGATTGTCTTCACATTTTTTAATCGCCGTCCAATCAGTCTTTCTTGTTGTGGGTTTCAGGTTCTTCTTGAGTGCATTTGTTAGACTATCCATATTCATTATGTCGAGGATTTTTATTATCCAATCATCTAATGTTGGATATATATTTTTGGCGTATATAATTCTAGCAGCAGTGGCCATATGGAAAAATAAAACTTCCTTATTCTTCTCCGAGTCGAAATCTACCTAACATATAGAATTCCGGTTTTAGTTCTATTTTTAATTCCAGAATTCTTTGTGTCGCTTTGTGGATCTCTGACCAGAATTTTTTGGCTTTCTTACATAACCACCAAAAGTGGAAAAAAAATTCCTTCTTTATTTTTACACTTCCGGCATCTATCTTGTAAGGTCTTATAACACTTTGCCAGTTTACTTGGTGTAATATACCACTGATACATTATTTTAAACCAATTTTAGCGTAAGTCATATGAATTGGTGTATTTTAATGTATTAGTCCAAATTTTTCCCCACTCTGTGTGTTTTATGGTATGTCCAATGTTTGCCTTCCATTTCCTCATGCAATCCTTTATTTGAATCTTCTCTGTCGACCATTTTAATAAAGCTTTATACATTTTAGTAATTACCTTCTTCCCGGTTATCATTATTTTGTCCCTTCTTCAAAGCCCATTTTTTAATCCTTGTTATAACCCTCGCTAAGTTGTCTATACTGGAACCATGAAAAGTTTTCGTATGTTTGTCGAATTTCCTCCTGGGTCCTCATTGCATAGCAGTTATTTTGTTTTTTTAGAATCTCCTTATAACTGGGGCATTTTTCCCATCCTAATTCTCTTCTCTGAACTGCTTCCATTTTGGGAAGGACTGAAGAGGAAAACAGAGATGCTTTTGATTCCTGTTGCCTGGCCCATTGCGGTTCTGTGGGGAAATCCCTCCCCATGTAAGACCCATGTGTTTGCTCTGTATTACTATTATTATGTGATACACAACAAAATTAGTACACAGCAAACAAGATTGCTATGCTGGCTTTTGTATTCGATCACACGTCGAACACTTCCCAAGTGTTACTATTATTCTTTTTATTATTGTCATTATTATTATTATTATTATTATTATTATTATGTCAGGTATTTGTTTTCTGCTGACCTGAAATGGGGGTTTCTTCTCCTTCCTTTCCTTCCTGCAACAGAGAGCAAGCCTTGCCCTGCATCCAGATCCAGCTCCAGCGTGAGGTCTGTGACTTCGGGGGCCACATCGACCTTCCCCCCGGGAACGGAAGCAAGTCGAGTGGTGGCTTGCAGAAGACGTTCTCCAAGCTGACCTCTCGCTTCACAAAGAAGGCCTCCAGCGGCGGGAGCTACTCCATCCCGGGCACCCCTTCCAAAACCCTCTTTGTCACCAATCACCACTCGGAGGAGAAAGCCCGCCTGCAGAGTATCCTGACCATCGGGAGCTTCCCCCGCTCCGTCGAAGCCGCTCCGGCCGCGCCGACAGTCAACGGGCTCTTCCCGGAGAAGGCGGAGCGCGGCGGGAAGGACGCCAAGGGCATGAAGCTGCCCACCGACCAAGAGATGCAGGAGGTGATCGACTTCCTCTCCGGCTTCAACCTGGGCAAGTCCCAGCAGGCCTCCCCGCAGGTGAAGCGGAGGAACTCGGTCGCCTCGTCCTCGGCGGCGGCGGAGCAGAAGCCGGCATCGGCGGCGGCGCAGCACCAGCCTCAGTCTTCCTCTCACACGCCTTTGCACCACCTTCCGCAAGGGATGCCTCCCCAACAGCAGCAGCAGGCACCCCAAAAGGGCCCCCAACCACCCCAGTTCTATCAGCACTTGCTCCAGCCCATTGGGACCCAGCAGCAGCCGCCACCGCAACAGCAGCGCCCGCCTGGCAAATGGCCGTCCAACTCCGGCCAGCCGTCTGCCCCCGCCGTGAGCCCGGGGCTGCCTCACCTTCCCCATTGGAGCAGCCACGGCTTCTCGGACCTCAGCTCCGACCTGTACAGCTTGGGCCTGGTCAACAGCTACATGGACAGCGTGATGTCGGAGATGCTGGGACAGAAGCCGCCGCCGGGGCCCCGGAACAACACCTGGCCCAACCGCGACCAGAGCGACGGGATCTTCGGCATGCTGGGAGAGTTCCTGCCTTTTGACCCTGCAGGTGGGTTGTCACCCTATACTGTATAATGTTTTATTTATTGAGCATTTCCAATTCTGACAACACAGAGTAGAGGGAAAGCAGGAAAGAGAGGAAAAAATAACACAAAATAATGAAAGGAAAAGTTGGGAAGGTAGAGTTGTTGTTAGTGAGCTACATTGTTATCCATATCTTTTTAAAATTTATTTTTATTAGCGTTTTAGAAGGTAACAATAAAAGAGCGGGAACAATCTGATAATAGAAAAGTAGGAAACAAAAGGGAGCGGAAGGGGAAGCAGGATTGGTTTATTTCTCGTGTCAGGGCAACCAGTCGATTATATTACATTTCTAACAGAACAAAGCAAACAAACGGAGAAAATACAAAATTTGCGAGCTTGGAAGTTGATTAAATGTCCTTTGACCAGTATCTGTCCCCTTGGAGTGCCTCTGGTGTTGTCGCAAGAAGGTCCTCCCTGGTGCATGTGGCCGGGCTCAGGTTGCATTGCAGCAGGTGGTCAGTGGTTTGCTCCTCTCCACACTCGCATGTCGTGGACTCCACTTTGTGGCCTCATTTCTTGAGGTTGGCTCTGCATCTCGTGGTGCCAGAGTGCAGTCTGTTCAGCGCCTTCCAAGTCGCCCAGTTTTCTGTGTGCCCAGGGGGGAGTCTCTCATTTGGTATCAGCCATGGGTTTGAGCCTGCCACTTTTGGACTCTCACTTGCGGAGGTGTTCCAGTGAGTGTCTCTGTAGATCTTAGAAAACTATTTCTAGATGTAAGTTGTTGACGTGCTGGCTGATACCCAAATAGGGGATGAGCTGGAAATGTCTCTGCCTTGGTCCTTTCACTGTTGGCTGCTACTTCCCGGCGGATGCCAGGTGGTGCAATACCGGCTAGACAGTGTAGTTTCTCCAGTCGTGTAGGGCACAGACACCCTTTGATAATGCAGCATGTCTCATTCAGAGCCACATCCACTGTTTTAGCGTGGTGAGATGTGTTCCACACTGGACATGCATACTCAGCAGCAGAGTAGCATAGCGCAAGGGCAGATGTCTTCACTGTATCTGGTTGTGATCCCCAGGTTGTGCTAGTCAGCTTTCGTATGATATTGTTTCTGGCACCCACTTTTTGCTTGATGTTCAGGCAGTGCTTCTTGTAGGTCAGAGCACTTTCCAGAGTGACTCCCAGGTATTTGGGTGCACTGCAATGCTCCAGTGGGATTCCTTCCCAGGTGATCTTCAGAGCTCGGGATGCTTCTCTGTTCTTGAGATGAAAGGCACATGTCTGTGTTTTAGATGGGTTGGGGATCAGCTGGTTTTCCCTGTAATAGGCAGTAAGAGCACCTAGAGCTTTGGAAAGCTTCTGTTCTACCATCTCAAAGCTCCCTGCTTGAGCAGTAATGGCAATTGGATAGTTGTAAAAATTATAACAGCCAATGTTGGAAATGCGGGGAGCGGGGTGATCTCCCACTGTTAGCCCCGCCTTCTGCCAATTTAGCAATTTGGAAATGTGCAAATGTGAGTAGATTAATAGGTACCGCTTCTGTGGGAAGGTAACGACACTCCATGCAGTCATGCTGGCCACATGGCATTGGAGGCATCTACGGACAATACCGGCTCTTCGGCTTAGAAATGGAGATGAGCACCGGAGTCCCAGAGTCGGACATGACTCGAAGTGTATGAGAACTGAGTCTCCTATCAACCAACTCGTTATCTTGCAACTCATTAGTCTTTGAACTCGTTTCTGAACCATCTTGGCACATCTCTGGAATGTGACCTTCACTAATATACAAGTATAGTAAATAAATTATAATAAATGATTGCTGGAGACACCGACTGATCATTTTCAGGACTTAAACTCTCATGTTGCCTCGCAGGCCCAGAGTTCCCACGATCCACTTCCCCATGGGCTGAACTACAACATCAAGGCTCCTTGCATACAAGACCCAGATAACAGGCTTTGTCAAGAGTATGCTTCCAAAACACAAATGTTTGCTCTCCTGGGCCTTTCCTGCTTCTCGGATTCAAGGAGATCTCGGTGGGCTAAATGGGACGAACTATGTTCCTCTTGGGTTGTTGAAGGTTTTTTTCGGGCTATATGACCATGTTCTAGAGGCATTCTCTCCTGACGTTTCACCTGCATCTATGGCAAGCATTCTCAGAGGTAGTGAGGTCTGTTGGAACTAGGAAAATGGGTTTATATATCTGTGGACAAAGGACTTTTGTCTGCTGGAGCTAGGTGCGAATGTTTCAACTGACCACCTTGATTATCATTTGATAGCCTGGCAGTGTCTGGGGCAATCTTTTATTGAGAGGTGATTAGATGTCCCTGATTGTTTTCCCTCTGCTGTTTTGCTGTTTTAATTTTAGAGTTTTTTTTAATACTGGTAGCCAGATTGTGTTCATCTTCATGGTTTCCTCCTTTCTGTTGAAATTGTCCACATGCTTGTGGATTTCAATTTTCCTAGTTCCAACAGACCTCACTACCTCTGCCATAGATGCAGGTGAAATGTCAGGAGAAATGCCTCGAGAACATGGCCATATAGCCTGAAAAAAACCTACAACAACCCTGTGATTCCGGCCATGAAAGCCTTTGACAATACGTTCCTCTTGCTTGGGATCCTTTTGTGCACAGGAGGTGGACATTCCTTTGGCCGGCTATCCGTATGGAGACGGGGGCCCCCCTTGCTTTCCTGGACTGGCTTCCTCCAGACATTCTTCAGTCTGCTCCCTTTCTCTCTTTTTTCACGACAGAGAGCCAAATCTCTCTTAGCAACAGAATGCGCTTCTGGATTTAATTTCTGCTCAAGCCTGATGCCAAGTCTTATAGCAGCGGCGGCAGCATCACAGCCTGTGAAAAAGAGAGCCAAAGGGCCTGTGAACCTACCGCTTGCAGGCTCCAAATTGGAGGGATTTGCCTCTTGTTTGGGATCCCTTTGTCAGGCTCTGTTGCAGAATGCAAAAAAAGCTTTATCTCCAGTCTCTAAGTGTTCTCTAAGTGTTCAGGAGATACCTGAAGGAACACCAAACACAGCAGACAGCCACTTCGTTCCAAATCAGTATAGACCCTATTCTATACCGTAGTCAAAAGCCAGTCCAGAGATTCGAGGTTCCAGGATTCCAAAACTCAGGATACAAGTCAGGACACTGAAAATCCAGAAACCTGGGGGAAAACCAGCAGCATCTACCACCAAAACGAGACAAATACTTTTCTCCTGAAGATCAGTCCCAAGGCTAGTTCATTATATCCGGAAACACATATTTCTTGCATACCTACTGTTGCAATCCAGAGCAGGAAACGAGGCCCTAAGATAACTATCCACCACATTGACTGGGAAAAAAAATCCTTTTTTATTGAAGAAAAATGGTTACAAAATAAAGGAAAAATGCAAAATCAAGAGCCACAGCAAAATCAGCAAACATGAATGTCCATGAACAAGATCAAAACCCAAAGCCACACTGTAAAATACTGGAACCTGTTAGCAATCCACTAACCGTACTTGGTGTCCTAGAAATCTTTCAAGACGATGGCCAGGGAAACCGGGAGAACTGCCAAGGTCCTCATCAATCTAAAACGATGCCTGAACTGAGAAAGTCAGCCCGACGGAAGGCACCTAAAGCCGAGGAATTGGTTTTGTGAAATGCCTCCCTGCTTTGAAGCCGTTGTTTGTATTTCTTTTAATCTGGAAGACCTTCACAAGCTGAGTGACCTCACTACCTCTGAGGATGCTTGCCTACAGGCGAAACGTCAGGAGAAATGCCTCTAGAACATGGCCCTATAGCCCGAAAAAACCTACAAGAACCTGAGTGATTTACTCCTGTCTTGCCAGATCTGGCCCCTTCTATTCTCATTAAGGTTCCCAGGTGCAGAAGGGAGTGAAAGGTCATGGCTTCCCTCTGAAACATTCTCATGAACACTGGTACTTTCATTTTCCAAATCTACAGAAGTTACTTCCTCACTAATTTCAGGAGCATTGGCATCAAGAGGTACATTTTCATTAGCATCAGTAAATATATTTTCATTAGCATCAGGAGGTACAAACAGAGAATCATGTTCCAACCCAGGCTGAACCCCAACACCTCCACCCTTAATTACTTTCACTCGTTAACTCTTACTTACAGATTACACAACCCTTTAGAACTAAGACTTACATTAACCCTTCCATCACCAACTGCTAGGCCTACCACCACCAACCACCCTCAACTACAGAACATGATACATGACAGAAGCTCATCTTCTGAGCCCATTTCTGACTGACCGTGTTTCCCTAGCAAACGGTGTCTCACCCACATCTGGGCCTCTTTCTGGAATGTGGCCTTCGTTAGATACTGGAGACAGAGACCACTCAGTTTCAGGGCTTGAAATCTGGCTTGCAGACCCAGTTCAGATGTGAACAGTTAGCTATGGACAAATATATAGTCTCGCTCTCCTCTCTCCTCCACAGCAAGTTTCTTTCTTCTTTGTTCCTCCACCTTCTTCTGAATTTCAGTGTTTGTTTATGAAGGCATTTGCCTTTGAGCCTCACCTCCTCCACAAGTGCCCTCGAGGTGGTTGATTAAAACAATAACACCGTTCAGCAAAATAGTATAAAAAGAAGTCTAAATGTAGGAAATAATTCACAAAATTCAAGGTACGAGAGTATTTTCAAAAAGCAGAAAAAATCCACAAGACGAGATTCAGGAACAGCCTTTGAAACTTGGAAGCACCGAACACGAGCAACAGGAAACGTGGAACTAGAAATCCCTTAGCAGGTTTGACTTGCTTGGCAAGAGATACATCCTCAAACAAAATAGTATAAAAAAGGAAATAGTTCACAAAATTCAAGGTACAAGAGTATCTTCAAAAACCAGGAATACAAAAGCAGAAACAATCCACAAGACGAGATTCAGGAACAACCTCTGAAACTTGGAAGCACCGAACACGAGCTAGAAATCCCTTAGCAGGCCTGACTTGGCAAGAGATATATCCTCAAACATCAGTGTTGACCAACGTAGACAAGACTTCTGGTCTTGCTAATAAAGACAGAAAATCATGCCTTCTCCCCCGAGAAACTGATAATGTCTTTTTGGCTAACAAGCATTTTGACTGTCTCAAATTCTGCTGAGCAGCTCTGTGTTCATGGAACATAAATCTCCTATCTAACAGCTCATTAATCTGTTCACTTGGAAGCTTTCACGTTGCCAGGGCTCTGTCTTATTCAGGTAGAGATGAACCAAACAAATACCCAGTTTGTATCAAGCAGTTTAATTAATTAAAACAGCACTTACTTTCTGACTGTTTTAATAGTCCAAAATATAAAACATAAAGATTGCACTCAGCCACAGAATACAAAACACAAACAGCAAACACTGTTGCAGGTTCAAGATAATTCCGTAGCCAAATGGTCCAGTCCAGTGGTCAAACACTGGGAGTTCAATAAACAAAGTCCAGGGATCAAGAGTCTATACCATAGTCAAAAGCCAGTCCAAAGATTCAAGGTTCCAGGATTCCAAAATTCAGGAGACAAGTCAGGACACTGAAAATCCAGAAACCTGGGGGAAAACCAGCAGCATCTACCACCAAAATAAGACAAATACTTTTCTTTAGTTCACAAAATACTTTACTTTAAAAAACTCCAACCATCACCCAAGTCAAAAAAGAAGCACCATTAAAGCCTTGGCAGACCGTGCAAAAAGAATCTGCGAAGCCCACCTCCTCCAAGATGAACTGAACCACCTCAACTGGGCTCTCCAGGCCAATGGAGACTCCACCTCAGACATCAGAAGAGCTGCAAGACCAAGAACAAGCCACGAGAGTCAAGATGAAGATCCACCCAGAGGGAAAGTGTTCCTGCCATACATCAAGGGAACCACTGACCGCATAGGGAAGCTGATGAGGAAACACAACATACAAACAAGCTACAAACCCACCAAGAAAATCCAACAAATGCTACGTTCAGCAAAGGACAAGAGGGATCCTCTCACCTCTGCAGGAGTCTACCGTATACCATGCAGCTGTGGACATGTCTACATAGGGACCACCAAACGCAGCGCCCAGACACGCATCAAGGAACATGAAAGGCACTGCAGACTACTTCAACCAGAGAAGTCAGCCATAGCAGAGCACCTGATGAACCAGCCTGGACACAGCATATTATTTGAGAACACAGAAAGGCTGGACCACACCAACAACCACCATGTCAGACTACACAGAGAAGCCATTGAAATCCACAAGCATGTGGACAATTTCAACAGAAAGGAAGAGACCATGAAAATGAACAAAATTTGGCTACCAGTATTAAAAAAACTCTAAAATTATAACAGCTAAACAACAGAGAGGAAAAAACCAGGCACAGATTAACACCTCCCAACAACAGATTTTCCCAGGCTCAGGCAGGCCTTCAAATGCTAATGAAGGTGATCAGCTAAACATTCACACCTAACTGCAGCAGGGAAGAGCTCCTTGCCCCACCCCAGCCATTCCACAGATATATAAACCCATTTCTCCTACTTCCAACAGACCTCACACCTCTGAGGATGCTTGCCATAGATGCAGGCGAAACGTCAGGAGAAATGCCTCTAGAACATGGCTCTATAGCCCGAAAAAACCCACAAGAACCTACTTTACTTTAGTTCACAAAATTCAAGGTACGAGAGTATTTTCAAAAAGCAGAATAAATCCACAACATGAGATTCAGGGACAACCTTTGAAACTTAGAAGCATTGAACACGAGCAACATAATTAAACAGGAAATAACACCTTCGAACCAGGAACAGAAAAAAAAATCAACTTTTGTTACAAGATCTTCTGGGGAGGCCCTGCTCTCGATCCCGCCTGCATCACAAGCACGGCTGGCGGGGACGAGGGACAGGGCCTTTTCTGTGGTGGCCCCTCGGCTGTGGAACGCCCTCCCCATGGACATTAGATCAGCCCCTTCGTTAATGGTGTTTCGAAGAAAACTAAAAACCTGGCTGTTCGAACAGGCGTTCGGTTAAACAATGCAATGTACACGATGAATATAGGAAACAGAATTATGGAAGACGAATTGGATCACGATTCTAGTTACGAGACGTTAATGTGTTGTTATTGATGTGTCATTTTGTATATTTGCTGTTAATGTTTTTTAAATTTTGTATGCTGTTGGATTGACTTTTGCTCTTGTTGTAAACTGCGTTGAGTCGCCTACAAGGCTGAGAAATTGCGGTATACAAGCAAAGTAAATAAATAAATAAATAAATAAATAAATAAATAAATAAATAAATAAATAAATAACGTTGTTATTCTGACCAAAGCAGAATAGAGTGGGATTATGACTACTGGTTGTTTGGAATTGTGGGAGTTGTTGTCCAAAATACCCCAAGGACTAAAGTTTGCCCATGCCTGGTCTAGACATTCAACTCCTCTTGATGCAACCTGAAATCACATTGGCCCTTTTAGCTGCTGCAACACACTGTTGGCTTGTGTTCAATGTGTGGTCCACAAAGTCCCTTCTAGGCAAAGGAAGGCTGTACCATTTGACACTCGCAGTGACGTTCCCAATTGAGGACTGGGCTCCCTTTGCGTGCAGAAGACACGAAAGGGAGGCCACTGGGCTTAAAAGGATTACAGTGGGGCACAACCGCCGTAGAGACAACCAAATGTGAGGGGTCTGCATGTTTTCATAATCCCATTCCCTGTCTTTGTTTATGTCTAGTGGGCTCCGACCCGGAGTTTGCCCGCTACGTGGCCGGGGTGAGCCAGGCTATGCAGCAGAAGAGGCAAGCCCAGCACTTCCGCCGGCCCGGCAGCAATGCCCGCAGCAACTGGGCCCCTCCGGATGACCCTCACCGGACCTGGCCCTTCCCAGAGTATTTCAACGAAGGGTAAGCAAGGCCCCTTGGCCTCACTAAGCCGTCAGGAGAGTGGCCTGTGTACCTTCGACCTCTTTTTTTCTTTGTTTTTTTCCCCAGATATTGTTTTTTCTCAGTTACACGCGGTCCCCAAGTAACAAACAAGATATGTTCTGTAGATTTGCTCTTAATTTGAATTTGTTTCAGGTACATTTTTCAAGTGTAACTCCAGCCAAATGCTTTTGGGTGGCATAGGGAAGGGTGAAAAACCCTGTGGTGGTTCTTTTGCTGTCTGTGCTCCTGTTCAGAAGATTTCCCCTCACTTTCTGTCCCTGGGATGATGATGATGATGATGATGATGATAAAATAATAATAATAATAATAATAATTATTATTATTATTTGTTGTAGGTTTTTGGGCTATATGGCCATGTTCTAGAAGCATTCTCTCCTGACATTTTGCCTGCATCTATGGCAAGCATCCTCAGAGGTTGTGAGGTCACAACCTCTGAGGATGCTTGCCATAGATGCAGGCGAAATGTCAGGAGAGAATGCTTCTAGAACATGGCCATATAGCCCGAAAAACCTACAACAACCCAGAATGGAAGTAATTAGCCTGAACATTTATTTATTTGTCGTGTCAGGGAAACCAGTCAATTATATTACATTTCTAACAGAACAAAGCAAACAAACAGACAAAATACAAAATTTGAAGCTTGGTAGTTGATTAAATGTCCTTTGACCAGTATCTGGCCACTTGGAGTGCCTCTGGTGTTGCCGCAAGAAGGTCCTCCATTGTGCATGTAGCAGGGCTCAGGTTGCATTGCAGCAGGTGGTCAGTGGTTTGCTCTTCTCTACACTCGCATGTCATGGATTCCACTTTGTAGCCCCATTTCTTAAGATTGGCTCTGCATCTCGTGGTGCCAGAGCGCAGTCTGTTCAGCGCCTTCCAAGTCGCCCAGTCCTCTGTGTGCCCAGGGGGGAGTCTCTCATCTGGTATCAGCCATTGGTTGAGGTTCTGGGTTTGAGCCTGCCACTTTTGGACTCTCACTTGCTGAGGTGTTCCAGCGAGTGTCTCTGTAGATCTTAGAAAACTATTTCTAGATTTAAGTCGTTGATGTGCTGGCTGATACAGTGAAGACAGATACAACAATAATAATAACTGCAAAGACTGGCACAAGCCAGTAAAGGTGGTCCCAGTGGTGATCGGCACACTGGGTGCAGTGCCTAAAGACCTTGGCATGCACTTAAACACAATCGGCGGTGACAAGATTACCATCTGCCAGCTGCAAAAGGCCACCTTACTGGGATCTGCATGCATTATTTGCCATACATCACACAGTCCTAGACACTTGGGAAGTGTCCGACGTGTGATCCAATACAACAGCAGCAGAGTGACCTTGTTTGCTGTGTGCTAGTGTTGTTGTGTTTATAATAATAATAATAATAATAATAATAATAATAATAATAATAATAATAATAATAAATTTGTATCCCGCTCTGCCTCCCTCCTACTCAGGAGGCTGGGGAAGTGGATAGAGTACAAAACGGGGACCTAATAATAATAATAATAATAATAATAATAATAATAATAATAATAATTATTATTATTATTATTATTATTATTAGAAACACAACAAGACTAGCACACAGCAAACAAGGTCACTCTGCTGGCTGTTGTACTGGAACTAATCATTTCCAAAGGCTTGCTGGAACCTCCAGGTTTTCAGGTCCTTGCGGAAAGAGGCTAGTGATGGGGCTTGTCTTAACTCCCTGGGGAGGGCGTTCCAAAGGCAGGGGGCCACCACCAAGCAGACCCTCTTTCTCGTCCCCACCAAAGGGCCTCCCCGGCAGATCTAAGAGTCCATGCTGGTTCGTAGGGAGAGATGCAGTTGCGGAGATAGGCAGGGCCCGAACCGTTTGGGGCTTTATGGATCATGACCTGCACTTTGGGTTGCACTCAACCCATATCTCAACAAATGCATCTCCCCTCATCACCTTGTTTTAGAAACAAGGATTGGAGAGAAGGCTTCATTGGAGACACCTTTTCTGCCTGGGAATAACTCTTCCAGGAGTGGGTTTTTCTTCCTAGAACTAGAGTCTTCTCACTTCCTGTTGTCTCAGCCCTGTTTTTAACTTGGATTTTACAGTTAGCCATGAATGTGCTGGACACGTATGTAAAACCTAACGTTGTGTGTGGGTTCCCTCTTGGCAGGGAGATGGCAAACAGCTGGTCCGGCACTCAGGGAGACTCCGCCAGCTCCAGCGACGAGACGTCCTCCGCCAACGGAGACAGCCTGTTTTCCATGTTCTCAGGGCCGGACATCGTCGCCGCCGTCAAGCAAAGGAGGTGAGAACGAGGGTCCGAAGCAGGCACGGGAATCCATTGAAGCAGCGCATCCGCCATCCCGGTGCCGTTGTATGTGGCTGCTTCTCAGTTTTGACAGCGGAGGTGCTCGTCTCAAGTCTCTTCTCATCCCCGGCCTTGCTGCTTAGCTCACCGTGTTCTTCCTTGTCCTTCTGCTTCACAGGAAACACAGCAGCGGGGAGCAGGACCCGAGCACACTGCCTTCGCCACCCCTCCTCTCGGCCACAGATGACCACAATCAGGCAAGGAGCACAGCACGGGGTCTTTCTCTGGGTAGCACATCCAGGAGAGGTCTCCTCTCCTGCCATTGGAACCCATGGCTCCGTTGAGTCCTCGTCTCCAGGGCAGAAGGAAGCATACATTGCTCCCTCTTCCTTAGGACAGCCTTTCCAATATCTATACATGGCTCGTCTCCTGCCCCACACACTCAGGCTTCTCTTCTCCAAGCATTGGTGTGTTCAGGCGCTGCATCACTCTTTGGTTATAACGATATAGTACAATATAGTAATATACAATACTGATATTGTACTATGCTAATAATATAATACAGGGGTCCTCAAACTTTTTAAACAGAGGGCCGGGTCACAGTTCCTCAAACTGTTGGAGGGCCGGATTATAATTTGAAAAATCTATATCAATAGAAATGTAATGTTCGTTTGTGGGATTAACATAACTCAACAACCACTGGACGAATTGACACCAAATTTGGACACAACACACCTACCAGGCCAATGAGTGAGCATCACTCATAAAAACACTGAAAAACACAGTGGAAGAGACTTAAAAAGCAACCTCCCCCCCCCCAAATACATTACAATGCATGCGCAAAACCACACACACACACACATATATATACACACACACACACACATCTATGTATATACACACACAAAACACATACACAGAAAGGGGGAAAGAAGGAAGGAAAGAGAGCAGGAGGGAGAGAGGGAGGCAAAGAAGGAGGGAAGGAGAGAAAGAAGGAAAGAAAGAAGGGTAGAGAAGGAAGGAGAGAAGGAGGAAGAGAAAGAAAGAAAGAGGGAAAGAAGAGGGAAGGAGAGAAAGAAGGAAAGAAAGAAGGGTAGAGAATGAAGGAAGGAGAGAAGGAGGGAGAGAAAGAGAGAAAGAAAGAGGGAAAGAAAGAAGGGGGAAGGAGAGAAAGAAGGAAAGAAAGAAGGGTAGAGAAGGAAGGAGAGAAGGAGGAAGAGAAAGAAAGAAAGAGGGAAAGAAGGGAAGGAGAGAAAGAAGGAAAGAAAGAAGGGTAGAGAATGAAAGAAGGAGAGAAGGAGGGAGAGAAAGAGAGAAAGAAAGAGGGAAAGAAAGAAGGGGGAAGGAGAGAAAGAAGGAAAGAAAGAAGGGTAGAGAAGGAAGGAAGGAGAGAAAGAAGGAGGGAAAGAAGAAGGGAAAGAAGGGGGGAAGGAAAGAAAGAAGGGTAGAGAAAGGAAGGAAGGAAGGAAGGAGAGAGAGAAAGAAGAAGGGAAAGAAGGGGGAAGGAAAGAAAGAACCCCTGATATAATATATTGGGTTATTGTAGGTTTTTTCGGGCTATATGGCTATGGCCTAGAGCAGGGGTCCCCAAACTAAGGCCCGGGGGCTGGATCCGGCCCCGTGAGGGCATTTATCCGGCCCGCGGGGTGTGGAGAAGGGGGGGAGGCGGCGGGCGAAGCAGCTTCGGGACCGCTTCGTCCTCTGCCTCCCTGGGCCCAGCCGGCTCTTCTGCCTTCGGGAAGGGGCCACGAGGTGCGTGCTTCCGCAGAGCAGAGCCAGGCAGAGCAGCAGCCACGTCCCGGGCATGGTGCGCCTCCCGAGCCTCTTCCTGTCAGGGCGGGGACTCCATGGGCTTCCCTGCAAGGCAAGGAGCAGAGGGAGAGGGTCAGTGCGGAGGGAGCGAGCGAGGGAGGGAGGGAGAAGTCTCCTTCCACCAGGGAAGCACCAGCCAAGACCCTCCTCCTCCTTCTCTTCCTCCTCCTCTTCCTCCTCCTCTGCTGGGCAAGAACCCCCTCCCTTCACACACACACACACACAGACATCATCTGGATTGAAGATTTTGGGGTGTATGGCTGTGTTCCAGAAGCATTCTCTCCTGATATTCTCTCTTTGGTTCCATCAACTTAATGAGATTCTTGAATGCATTCACTCCATATTTCTATTTTTACGTTCTTCTTAAATTATTTAAATCTCTAAATTTTTATTTCATTATATAATCTATTAATATTTTTTTATTACTTTTATTATTCTAGCATTCTTTAAATATTATATAACAATAATTATATCATTTAAATCAAGTCATCTACCCATTGATTTCTTTATTTCCATTCTTTCTCCTTAATGCCATTGAAAACCTTTTTCATTTCATTTCTTTATATCTTTATCTCCCTCCTTCTCTCCCTTACTTAAGTATTTAAACATACATGCATTCTTTCCTTATTTCTCTCTTAAATACTCTACTTACAATATCTTTCTAGATAATCACACTCATAGTACTTCCCATCTTACAATTAATTCTTTCCTCACCCATTCTTTACCTTCTTCTCACCTTCTTTCTATCATCCTCCCTTTATCGCAATTATTTCTTACTTTTCTCTTCCTTCCCTCTTTCTCCTCTTTCCTCTTTCCTCTCTCTTCCTTCTTCTACCCTTCTTTCCTTCTTTCTCTCCTTCCCTTTCTTTCCCTCTTTCTTTCTTTCTCTTCCTCCTTCTCTCCTTCCTTCTCTACCCTTCTTTCTTTCCTTCTTTCTCTCCTTCCCTCCTTCTTTGCCTCCCTCTCTCCCTCCTGCTCTCTTTCCTTCCTTCTTTTCCCCTTTCTGTGTATGTGTTTAGTGTGTGTATATACATAGATGTGTGTGTTTGTGTGTATATATGTGTGTGTGTGGTTTTGCGTGCATTGTAATGTATGTTTTGGCTTTTTTTTGCTTTTAACGTCCCTTCCACTGTGTTTTTATGAGTGATGGTCACTCGTTGGCCTGATACGTGTCTTGTGTCCAAATTTGGTGTCAATTCGTCCAGTGGTTTTGGAGTTATGTTCATCCCACAAACTAACATTACATTTTTTTATGTATATAGATTCTATTATTATAATCCACCCCCCCAACAGTTTGCGGGACTGTGATCCGGCCCTCTGTTCAAAAAGTTTGGGGACCCCTGACTTAAACGGATGAATTTCCTTTCTCTCTCTCCCCCCATCGCATTGTCAAGTCAATCCTAGTTCCAACAGACCCCACTACCTCTGAGGATGCTTGCCATAGATGCAGGCGAAACGTCAGGAGAGAATGCCTCTAGAACATGGCCATATAGCCCGAAAAAACCTACAACAACCCAGTGATTCCGGCCATGAAAGCCTTCGACAATATAATATATTGTATGTATGTATATCTTGTAAGCCGCTCTGAGTCCCCTTCGGAGTGAGAAGGGCGGCATATAAATGTTGTAAATAAATAGAGACACTCTATGAATGCGTTGACCTTTTTAGAATCGCCTTGGCCTTTTCCGCTGCTGCATCACACCCTTTGCTGCTGCTCAGCTTCAGGTTTGCTGAAAAAAAGATAATATTCTCGCAGGCAAGGTTTGGACAAAGCAGAAGAAAGGGGAACTATGACTTTCCTATGCTAATAATATAATATAATATAATATAATATAATATAATATAATATAATATTAATGTATATGATAAGTAAAGGTAGTCCCCTGACATTAAGTCCAGTCATGTCTGACTCTGGGGTGTGGTGCTCATCTCCAATTCTAAGCCGAAGAGCCAGCGTTGTCCATAGACACCTCCATATAATATTAATAATATTACAAAGTAATACAATATGCTACTATTACTAATAATAATATGATATTATAATTATATATTTTATATTACATGTAATATTACAAATAATATTACGATATAATGGTGTAGTACAATATATTAATATATAATACTGATCATAGAATCATAGAATCAAAGAGTTGGAAGAGACCTCCTGGGCCATCATCCAGTCCAACCCCATTCTGCCAAGAAGCAGGAATATTGCATTCAAATCACCCCTGACAGATGGCCATCCAGCCTCTGCTTAAAAGCTTCCAAAGAAGGAGCCTCCACCACACTCCGGGGCAGAGAGTTCCACTGCTGAACGGCTCTCACAGTCAGGAAGTTCTTCCTAGTGTTCAGATGGAATCTCCTCTCTTGTAGTTTGAAGCCATTGTTCCGCGTCCTAGTCTTCAGGGAAGCAGAAAACAAGCTTGCTCCCTCCTCCCTGTGGCTTCCTCTCACATATTTATACATGGCTATCATATCTCCTCTCAGCCTTCTCTTCTTCAGGCTAAACATGCCCAGCTCCTTAAGCCGCTCCTCATAGGGCTTGTTCTCCAGACCCTTGATCATTTGAGTCGCCCTCCTCTGGACACATGCCAGCTTGTCAATATCATTCCAGCTTGTCAATATCTTGTCATATTGTACTATGCTAATAATTTAATAAATAGTATGTATATATACCTGCTCTGAGTCCCCTTCGGGGTGAGAAGGCCAGCATATAAACGTTGTAAATATTTATTTATTTATTTACGGGTGTATATGCCGCCCTTCTCACCCCGAAAGGGACTCAGAGCAGCTTCCAAGTTATATATACATACAATTTATTATTAGCATAGTACGATATCAGTTTTAAATATTGCAATATTGTACTATATCAATGATACTGTAGTATTATTAGTAATACTACGTGTAATATAAATATATAATTATAATATCATATTAGTAGTAGTAGTAGTAGTAGTAGTATTATATTGCATTACATTATAATATTATAAATATTATATGTATATACAATATATTATATATTATATTACATTATATTATTAGAATAGCACAGGAGACAAGGCATTTCTTTTGATAGAGACACTTTATGAATGCGTTGACCTTTTTAGAATTGCCTTGGCCTTTTCTGCTGCTGCATCACACCTTTTGCTGCTGCTCAGCTTCAGGTTTGCTCAAGAAAGATAATATTCTCGCAGGCAAGGTTTGGACAAAGCAGAAGAAAGGGGAACTATGACTTTCCTATGCTAATAATATAATATAATATAATGCAATGCAATATAATATAATACAATATAATAAAATATATTGTATATACATATAATATTTATAATACTATAATGTAATACAACATAATACTACTAATAATAATAATATAATATTATAATTATATATTTTATATTACATATAATATTACTAATAATATTACAATATAATGGTATAGTACAATATAATAATATTTAATACTGCTATATCTCGTAAGCCTCTCTGAGTCCCTTTTGGGGTGAGAAGGGTGGCATACATGTTGTAAATAATGTCGTAAATAAATAAATAAATTTCTTTTGCTAGAGACACTCTATGAATGTGTTGACCTTTTTAGAATCGCCTTGGCCTTTTCCGCTGCTGCATCACACCCTTTGCTGCTGCTCAGCTTCAGGTTTGCTAAAAAAAAAGATAATATTCTCGCAGGCAAGGTTTGGACAAAGCAGAAGAAAGGGGAACTATGACTTTCCTATGCTAATAATATAATATAATATAATATAATATAATATAATATAATATAATATATTGTATATACATATAATATTTATAATACTACAATGTAATACAATATGCTACTATTACTAATAATAATATGATATTCTAATTATATATTTTATATTACATGTAATATTACAAATAATATTGCAACATAATGGTATAGTAAAATATAGTAATATATAGAAAGGTTAGTGAAACTAACTGTAATAATTTCTGTGGTAACCCACTACTTTCGGACCATTTATTTATTTATTTATTTACGACATTGATATGCCGCCCTTCTCACCCCGAAGGGGACTCAGAGCAGCTTGCAAGTTATATATACATACAATTTATTATTAGCATAGTACAATATCAGTTTTAAATATTGCAATATTGTACTATATCAATGATACTGGAGTATTATTAGTAATACTACATGTAATATAAATATATAATTATAATATCATATTATTATTATTGTTAGTATTATATTGCATTACATTATAATATTATAAATATTATATGTATATTAGGCTTGGGCAATCCATGGTTCTAAATGGTTCTAAAGTACTTACAAAACTAAAGTTCTGGTGGTGAAAATTTCAGAACTCTAACAAAACTCTCAAAACTTCATAATAAATGGCAGTTCCTAATTGGTTCTGTCATTAAAATCACCAATAATGAAATAATAATTAAATTTTGAAAGTCTTGTTAGAGTTCTGAAATTTTCACCGCCAGAACTTTAGTTTTGTAAGTACTTTAGAACCATTTAGAACCATGGATTGCCCAAGCCTAACGTATATACAATATATTATATATTATATTACATTATATTATTAGAATAGCACAGGAGACAAGACATTTCTTTTGATAGAGACACTTTATGAATGCGTTGACCTTTTTAGAATCGCCTTGGCCTTTTCCGCTGCTGCATCACACCCTTTGCTGCTGCTCAGCTTTAGGTTTGCTGAAAAAAAGATAATATTCTCGCAGGCAAGGTTTGGACAAAGCAGAAGAGAATTGGAACTATGATTTTCCTATGCTAATAACATAATCTATATAAATAAAAATGTAATGTTCGTTTGTGGGATTAACATAACTCAAAAACAACTGGGCGAATTGACACCAAATTTGGACACAATACATCTATCAGGCCAACGAGCGACCGTCACCCCTAAAAACACACAAAAAAACAGCAGAATGGACTTTAAAACCCCCCAAAATAAACCATATATACATATACATTCATATACATATACACAAGCACACATACAGACAGACACACACACACATATATATATACACATATATGCATATACACAAGCACACACATATACACAATATACATATACACATATAAACACAAAAATATACATATACGCATGCAATACATATATACATATACACAAGCACACATAGACAGACACACACGCAAGCAAGCACACACACACAAATATGCACATATATACACCTACGTATACACCTACAAACATACATACACACATATACACAATATACATATACACATATAAACACAGAAATATATACATATGCATGCACCCATACATACAGACACACATATATACGCAAGCACACACAAATATACACATACAGTATACACACACACACACATATACTCCTACACACATATATATACACATATATATGGATATACACAAGCACACAATATACATAATATACATATACACATATATACACAAAAATATACACAGACATAAACACATATATACACACACAAAACACATATTCACAGACTGGGCCACAGCAACGTGTGGCAGGGACGGCTAATATAATATAATATAATATAATATAATATAATATAATATAATATAATATAATATAATATATAATGCAATGTAATATAATATAATATAATATATTGTATATACAGATATTATTTATAATTTTATAATATAATACAATATAATACTACGGCTTTCTTTTGATAGAGACACCCTATGGACGTCTCGGCCTTCTTAGAATCGCCTTGGCCTTTTGAGCTGCTGCACCCCCATCTTGGCTCATGCTCTGGTTGTCACCTAACCCTTCCTTTCTCTCTCTTCCAGGAAAACAAAACCAAAACCTGGCCCCCAAAAGCCCCCTGGCAACACGCGCTGCCCAACCCGGGACTCTCCTTGTTCCAGATGACCGGTCCAGCCGGCGCCGCATCTGGAACCTCGTCCACCGGACAGTGGAACGACGCCTTGCAGATCCTGCAGTCCCCGGTCTGGTCCAACGACTGCGCTCCTTCCTCCTCCTCCTCCTCTTCCTCCTCCACGTTTGCCTATGCGCCGCCGCAACCACAACAACAGCAGCAACAGCAATCCCCTCCGCAGCACAAACCTATGAACAAGGGCTTCAAACCGTTCCCGGTCAAGCACGAGCGCCGTCCCTCCTACATGCATCAATATTGACGGCGAGGTGAGTTTTGCCACCACCGGAGCCACGGTCAAAGCGGGCCGGACCCTAGACTTTGGCCCTGCGCCGCCTTTACGGTGGCGCAGGGCCAAAGTCTAGGGTCCGGCCCGCTTTGACCGCCGTCGGCTCCCTCCCAAACCATTACAAACACCTTCAGAAATCACACTTTTCTCTTCTCTCAACCCCTTCTTCCATCCTCCCTTTTTCCCCCCTTCTTGAGATCTTGCTAAGCAAAAAAATATATGGTGCCAAGTGTCCAAACACAAAACACAACCCCCCCAATTAAAAAAAAACTGTGATTGACGCTCTCGCAGAACGAAAACACTGGTTTTTAAAATATATTTGTCATATAATAGGGTGAAAAACGAAAAGGAAACGTTGAATGTTTTCGTTTTTGCTCCTCTTTTTTTTTTTTGCTCAGTTCTTCCTTTGGAAATCTGCTCCGAAGAGTCGCTTTCTTTTTGTAACATGCTACACAAAAGGAAGAGCGACGGATATATATATATATATATATATATATATATATATATATATATATATATAGCAAAAATATTTAATATGATTTAGCACTCCAAAAATCCATATTATCATTATTATTTTCCCCTTTGCGTCAAAAAAACACTACATTTGATACCTTTTTTACACATTTTTGGCCCAAAGGCATTATCCATACAGTGCTCCTTTATATACACACATATATATACATATATATACATATATATAATGTATATATGCATTTTTATATATATATATATGTGTGTGTGTGTGTGTGTGTGTATGGCCGGAATCACTGGGTTGTTGTAGGGTTTTTTTGGCCTATATGGCCATGTTCTAGAGGCATTTTCTCCTGACGTTTCGCCTGCATCTATGGCAAGCATCCTCAGAGGTAGTGAGGTCTGTTGAGGATGCTTGCCATAGATGCAGGCAAAACGTCAGGAGAAAATGCCTCTAGAACATGGCCATATAGCCCGGAAAACCTACAACAACCCAGTGATTCCGGCCATGAAAGCCTTCGACAATATAATATGTGTGTATATATATAGATATACACGCACACATATATAATATATATGTATGTATATGTGTGTGTATATATATATATATATATATATATATATATATATATATGGAAGAACAGTTGCAAACATTAAACAAGCAAGAGAGAGTCTGTGTTGTCGAAGGCTTTCAAGGCCGAAGCATTGCGTCATTGTGAGCTTTCTGGGCTGTGTGGCTATGTTCCAGAAGCATTTTCTCCTGACGTTTCACCCACATCTATGGCAGGCATCCTCAGAGGTTGTGAGGTTTGTTGGAAACCAGGCAAGTGGGGTTTATATGTCCAGGGTGGGAGAAAGAACTCTTGTCTGCTGGAGGAAAGAGCGAATGCCCCAACTGGTTAGCATCAAATAGCTTTGCAGCTTCAAAGCCTGGCTGCTACACTTGACCAGTTTCCAGCAGACCTCACAACCTCTGGACAGTTTGATTAGCATCGAATAGCCTTGCAGCTTCAAAGCCTGGCTGCTACACTTGACCAGTTTCCAGCAGACCTCACAATCTCTGTGAATGCTTGCCACAGATGTGGGAGAAACATCAGGAGAGAATGCTTCCAGAACTGAAAACTCACAGCAACCCAGAGAGAGTCTTATTTCAATTGCTAGGCTTAGTGTGTCATAAGAAAACAAATATGAGCTGGCTCAGAACAGAGAGATAAACATAATAATAAGACAATAAACACTATTTTTTTTTTGTAGTGCTAAGGATTAAAAATAAAGTAACTCCTTTCCGTCAATATGTGCCATTAAACTATAGCGGAACCTGTGGAATTAAAGGGGGGGAAATATAATCTTCCAACCAAAGCGGATCGGGGAGAACGACTTGGTGCTTTTAAATCAAAATAACAAACGAAACAACAAAAGATTAAAAAAAACCTGTATAGTTCTATCCCATTGTATATTCACTGGAGACGTCTTTATATATATATATATATTAAAAAAACAAACCTATTTAAATTTTCATACTTCCATCTTTGAAAGAGTAATTATTAAAAAAAACACAAATATTTTCTGGTATATATATATAAAGGGTTTTTTGACAGTATTAATATTATTTTTATATTTTTCTTAAGTCATATCATTCTAATACATTGACAAGTACAAAAAGAGTAAAGAAAAACAAAAACAACAAAACGTGTTCTTGGTTAACGAAATGCATATAGTTTTTTGACGAAGATTTAAAAAACAAAACAGAAAAAAATAAGCACATTTAAGTTTCCCATTTTCTACAAAGCTCTTTTAAAAAAGTACATTGTGTATAAAATAATAGTACAAAGATACCAAAATGATTATTATATAAATATATAAATATATATAAATAAATAAATGCCGGAAGCGCGCAACACTACACGCAGAGCGCCGCGGACGGGCCGCCTCGGCGAGCCCGGAATGTGAGTGATCTTTTCTTTCTTTGTGCTGTTGGGAGATGCCAATGTTGCCTGTCTTTTATGGTCTTTGTCGCCATTGTTTCCCTGAAAGAAGAAGAAAACCTAAATGGAAAACAAACAAAAAACCCTTACCTTGATATGCCATGTTTACAGAGTTGTTTGCTGTGCATAACTTGTGCTTTCGGCACAATCCGGTGTGGCTTTTATTTTTTTCTCGTCCTGTAAAACCGTCTCGATGTTTCCTTTTCTGTACATAATAACATTCTGCTGAATGAAAACAAAACAAAACGTTGGTGAGATTTCTCGAGTTTCCCTTCCGTCGACCCGTGAAAGCGTTTGTATCGCAACCTGATAAACAAACAAATAAACAAACCGCGGCCCTGATTTTTTACCGGATTCACGAACGTAGGGGGACCCCGTTTCTCTCGAGTCGGTGCTACATCGCTCTCCACTTCCAGTCTCTCTCTTTCCCGAACGCCGGACGTTTCTTTCCCGTTTCCCCATCCCAAATATTCCTTCCTTCCTTCCTTCCTTCCTTCCTTCCTTCCTTCCTTCCTTCCTTCCTTCCTTTGCCGCACACAGTTTTCCTCACTGCCACCTCGAGGGGGGAGTCGGTGCTTCGGCCAAACAGGGGGGGCCCCCGAGCCGCTCCCGCTTTTGGAAACTGGAAACTGTATATTTTGTATTTTAATTTTCAAAAAAGCACCCTGTAAGTAAAACCACCACCACTACCGCCACCACCCCTTATTTGCTTTATTAAAGATATACCTTTAATAAGAGGTCATATCTGGTTTGACTTGACGATCTCTGGACGGAGGTGGTGAGCACCATCAAGGTGTGAACTGAGTTAAGGGGATCCTGGCATAAGATATAAGATCTGGTTCGACTTGGGATCTCTGGACAGAGATGGTGAGGTGTGAACCGGGTTACGCGGATCCTGGCATAAGAGATAATATCTGGTTCGATTTGGGATCTCTTGATGGAGATGGTGATCACCATCAAGGTGTGAACCAAATTAAGGAGATCCTGGCATAAGAGATAATATCTGGTTTGACTTGACGATTTCTTGATGGAGATGATGAGTACCGTCAAGGTGTGAATCAAGTTGAGGGGATCCTGACATAAGAGATTAGATCTGGTTCAACTTGGGATCTCTGGACAGATGGTGAGGTGTGAACCGGGTTATGGGGATCCTGGCATAAGAGATAATATCTGGTTCAATTTTGGATCTTTGAATGGAGATAGTGAGTATAATAACTCCTTAAGGCCGTCTGGACAGGGGGCAAACAGATCCCAACACTGTCCCTCCTTTAATAAGGAATTCACACCACTTTGGCACTTACAGCGTTTGAGGGGATGTCTCTTGATTTAAAACTTTCGCTGCCACCATAAACTGAGGAATCACAAACCCTCTAGCTATTTAGAATGCTAAAAGGCTGTTTAAAATATTAAAAGGCTTTTTTACTCCACCAAATACTGTGTATTACCAAGGGCTTTCTTTGAGGGGAAACAGGAGAGGTTGATTCAAAAAGGAAAAGGACTCAAACCAAAAATGGCACTTGACTCAGGCTTAAGTTTTAAAAATAACAAGAAAGGTTTATTGAATACAAGTTACAGAATAAAAGTGAATGCAGGTTCAGAGGCTTGGCTGTTACAATTAAAGTGTTCTTGGTTCTTAGAAGCGTAACGGTTGCTTGAGAGAATGGATCTATTCTTTGTTACAATTTCCTAAACTATCCCAGCTATTTCTTTTCTATAATAGCTGTAACCAGTCCGCCACAGCCTACTTTGCTGTGCAAACTACAGGCAAGCTGCCTATTCCTAACAGAGACTCCTAAAACTCTAATCCTACTCTAACATCACCCAGAACTGAACTGAACTGTCAAAATAAGCTGCTCTCTTTCCCTCCAACTGGCTAACTCCGCCCCCCTTTTACCAACCAATCCTGGCTGTTGCTGGGCTGGCCCAGGCCTAGGCCACTCCCCACTCTGAACTGGAGTCTTCCCTAAACTAAGATGGCTCCTGCAGCTCTCTGCCAGGCCTTCTAAGCTGAAAACTACCTAGCCTGTCTCTTCCTGGGCCCTGCCACCCCCGGCTGGCAAGGTCAGGGATCTTCACAGTGAGCACCGTCAAGGTGTGAACCGAGTTAAGGGGATCCTGGCATAAGAGATAAGATCTGGTTCGACTTGGTAATCTCTTGATGGAGATGGTGAGCATCATCAAGGTATAAACTGAGTTAAGGGGATCCTGGCATAAGAGATAAGATCTGGTTCAACTTGGGATCTCTTGATGGAGATGGTGAGCACCGTCAAGGTGTAAACTGAGTTAAGGGGATCCTGGCATAAGAGATAAGATCTGGTTCAACTTGGGATCTCTTGGTGGAGATGGTGAGCACCGTCAAGGTGTAAACTGAGTTAAGGGGATCCTGGCATAAGAGATAAGATCTGGTTCAACTTGGGATCTCTGGACGGAGGTGCTGAGCACCATCAAGGTGTAAACTGAGTTAAGGGGATCCTGGCATAAGACATATCTGGTTCGACTTGGGATCTCTGGACACCCCTTTTTCCTCCTAGCTCTCCTGAAATGGGTACATTTCTACTGCAGGCTTCGCTACTATGGCAATGCATCAACCAATCAGCTCTAACTGAGCCTGGCCTGCGCTTGCCTTATACTAACTATTGCAACTCAGAGTAAGCTTCACCATGCTTCCAAACACCACCACACAAGAGCTGTAGTTTTATAGTTTATTGAGGAAAAAATCCAGGTCAAAATAAAGAATAAACATTGCAAAGTTCCAAAGATTTAGGTTAAATGCAGAATATAGTTCCAAAGATCTTCAGGTAAAAACAAGAGGCACAATCCTATAGGCAAAGTTCAAAACAGAGTCCATGGTACAAGCATTGAAACAATTGCCCCAAGAATCACAATGCAAGACACCCCAAGCGTGCTGCTTTCCAGCCAAGATTATTCCATGAAGCTTTCAGGCTAACAAGCTACATTGAGCTGACACTTTCCCTTCATTTGCAAGAAGCCTAAATACCTTTTGCTAACGAGAAAACATTATGCTCTCGCTAACATGAAAGCATTGCGATGACCTTTCCCCGAGCTGGCTTCTCGTCTGCTGGCTAGGCGTGAACTCCTCCTGACCTGCAAATCAAGACGGGCTTGCCGGGTCAGGTCACTATCAAGGCTTTCTGCACTTTCACAATCAGCGTGGGAAGGCAAAGGCCTCTCCACCTGTTCGCTATCTACTTCGTTAGCATTCCTTTCTTCTGAGAACTGCTGTGTTGACTCTGCAATGTCTGTGGGAGCCTCAGAAAAAGACCTAGGAGCAGGCCCAGGAATCTGAGGCACAGAAAAAGAGCCAGGAATCTGAATCCCATCATCCTCATCATCAGAGAACATCTCAGGCCCAGAATCACGCTGAACCACAACACTAACATTAATAAACACATTCAAAACTTACATTCCCCATTGTGGTCGCTGTGAATTGCACATATGGTAATTTCTGTGTCTGCACAGAATTATTCAAAAGTCAGGATTTTAGGCTTATGACATACAAGCAGAAACCCTCGCCCCAAAGCAGCACACAACACCATTCAATTTGAAGCAGTGTTTATTTATTTATTTATTGTTTCCAGTGCTTGGTTGCATCAAGGATCGTTTCAGGGGAAAGAATACTCCTTCGAGAGCCTGTAACATGTCTCTCCAGGTTAAGAACGGGAATATAATGTTGCAAAGGAAGTCAAGGAAAGACGAAAGGGAACCTGCGTCCAGGTCTTGTCAATAAACGCTTTCCTGAAAAGACAGCTTCCTCCAAGCCTTCTGAGTAAAGACACAAGTCACTGCATACACAATAGTGGTATTGTAAGAAGCCTAAATACCTTTTGCTAACAAGAAAACATTATGCTCTCACCAACATGAAAGCATTGCGATGACCTTTCCCCGAGCTGGCTTCTCGTCTGCTGGCTAGGCGTATTACAATACTGTGCTTGCTCTTTTAGTTGACCTCTAAGGAGGAAGCAGAATCGTACATTGTTTATAAACGCCATTCGTTTGGAAAGGAAAGGAGGGCTACACCAACAAGCAAGAACAGAGCCCAGGAACACGGTCTTATCCTTCCGCTGCGGACTTTTCGGCGTTTGACGAAGCAGAAGCGTCCGCGATCGTCGCCAAGTAAATGAGGTTGCGATGAAGGACGTGCTGGAGCCTGTGGGACGAGAAGCCAGGAATTGGGTGCTGGGTTAGTGGAAATAATCTCAGCACAAGCAAATCAAAATCTAGGTCTCATTCATTTTTCAAACAAACAGGGTGATAGCTTGCTGTGTTGTGGGAAATGTTCCTAATAGAACCTTCCTAATGCCGCGACCCCTTAATACAGTTCCTCATGTTGTGGTGACCCCCAACCATAACCCTAACATTATAAATCGCTATGTAAATAATGATCTGCAAGATGTACTTTCGTTCACTGGACCAAATTTGGCACAAATACCTGGTATGCCCAAATTTGAATACTGGTAGGGTTGGCGGGGGGATTAATTTTGTCATTTGGGAGTTGTAGTTGCTGGGATTTGCAGTTAACCTGCAAACAAAGAGCATTCTGAACCCCACCAACAATGGAATTGAACCAAAGTTGGCACAGATAACTCCCATGACCAACAGAAAATACTGGAAGGGTTTGGTGGCCATTGACCTTGAGTTTGGGAGTTGTAGCGACCATCAATCAAAAAATTGATTTCGTCATTTGGGAGTTGTAGTCGCTGGGATTTATAATTAACCTATAATCAAAGAGCATTCTGAACTCCCACCAACAATGGAATTGAACCAAAGTTGGCACACAGAACTCCCATGAGTTTGGTAGCCATTGACTTTGAGTTTGGGAGTTGTAGTTCACCTCCATCCAGAGAGCACTGTGGGCTCAAACAATGATGGATCTGGACCAAACTTGGCACAGATACCCAATATGCCCAAATGTGAAAACTGATGGGGTTTGGGGAAAATAGACTTTGACATTTGGGAGTTGTACTTGCTGGGATTTATAGTTCACCCACAATCAAGGAGCATTCTGAACCCCATCAATGATAGAATTGGGCCAAAGTTCCCACACAGAACCCCCATGACCAACAGAAAATACTGTGTTTTCTGATGGTCTTTGGCGACCCCTCTGACACACCTTTGCGACCCCCCCCCCATGGGTCCCGACCCCCAGGTTGAGAAACACTGTAATAGAATGTTTCCAACATTCCCATGACCAACTGAACCTACTGGAGGGGCCTGAGGGGACTGACTCACCATAGTGGGAGTTATAGTTTACCCTGCAGCCAGAGAGCACAATGAACCCCACTGATGATGCATCCAGAGCAAAATTAAAACTCTAAAATTAAAACAGCAAAACAGCAAAGGGAAAACAATCAGGGACATCTAATCACCTCTCAACAAAAGATTGCCCCAGGCACTGCCAGGCCATCAAATGCTAATCCAGGTGGTCAGTTGAAACATTCACACCTAGCTCCAGCAGACAAGAGTCCTTTGTCCCACCCTGGTCTTTCCACAGATATATAAACCCATTTTCCTACTTACAACAGACCTCACTATCTCTGAGGATGCTTGCCATAGATGCAGGCGAAACGTCAGGAGAGAATGCCTCTAGAACATGGCCATATAGCCCGGAAAAACCTACAACAACCCATCCAGAACAAAGTTGCCCAACATAACACACTTTAAGCACTGATGGGGTTTTTCGGGGCTAACTGGGCCTGATGTGAGTTGTAGTTCACCCACAACCTTATGCAATATTGTACAATTAGAAAAGGACGACCCAAGGTAGTAAACACAATAAATACAAACAAATATTAAATAATAATATAAAATAAATAGAAGAATAAAAAGATGATGATGATAAAATGTTATAGTACAATGAATATTCAGTTTAATAAATGAAATGATATAAATTATGTATTATAATAAATACAAATAAATAATATAATAAATCTATATAAATAAAAATGTAATGTTCGTTTGTGGGATGAACATAACTCAAAAACAATTGGACGAATTGCCGCCAAATTTGGCCACAAGACATTTACTAAACCAAGGAGTAATGATTTTGTTATTTGGGAATTGTAGTTGCTGGGATTTATTGTTCACCTACAATCCAAGAGCATTCTGAACCCCACCAACGATGGAATTGAACCAAAGTTGGCACACAGTTCTCCCATGACAAACAGAAAACACTGGAATGGTTTGGTGGCTATTGACCTTGAGTTTGGGAGTTGTAGTTCGCCTACATCCAGAGAACACTGTGGACTCAGACAATGATGGATCTGGATCAATCTCAGCACTAATACTTCATATGCCCAAATACGAACCCAGATGGAGTTTGGGGAAAATAGACATTGATATTTGGGAGTTGTAGTTACTGGGATTTATAGTTCACCTACAATCAAAGATCATTCTGAATCCCACCAACGTTGGAATTTTGAACTAAACTTGGCACACAGTTCTCCCATGACCAACAGAAAATACTGGAAGGGTATGGTGGGCAGTGTTCTTTGGCTTTGGAGTTGTAGTTCACCTACATCCAGAGATCACTGTGGACTCAAACAATGATGGATCTGGATCAAACTCTACAAGAATACTCAATATGCCCAAACGTGAACACTGGTGGAGTTTGGGAAAAATAGACTCTCGACATTTGGGAGTTGTAGTTGCTGGAATTTATAGTTCACCTACAATCAAAGAGCATTCTGAATCCCACCAATGATAGAATTGGGGCAAACCTCCCACACAGAACCCCCATGTGGGCCACAGCAACGCGTGGCAGGGGATGGCTAGTTAATATAATAAATATGATAAAGTATTATAAAGAATATTCAATTTAAAAATTGAAATATAAATAAATATTGTGTCATAACAAATACAATAAATACAAATAAACAAATATAATAAATGAAATATGATATAATGAATATTCAATTCAATAAATGAAATAATATTAATATAATATAATAAATGCAATAATAATACATAATAAATATAAATAAAATATAATGCATACTATAATACAATAATATAACATACAAATAATTATTTAATTTACTTTAAGGAAATAATGATAAATATAATTAATAGAAGTATTTTATGATGATAAATGCTATAAATAAATATGTAATGTAACAAATACACTAATTAATATTGATTATGATAAATGTAATAGTGAAATATAAAATAATATATAGCATTGAATTGATCAGAGGATGTTTGATGGCGTTATAGGCATAAATGAAAACAATAATACCAATAATGATGTCAATTTGGCTTCTTAAGATTCCAAGGGACTTACTGAATGCATTCCGCAGCCCTGCCTTTGTTCTGGTACTCCACAATGCAGCGGATCAGCTGGTCATTTTCGTCCATCAGCTGGAAGGCAAGAAGAGAGGGACAGGGCAAAGGTCAGAGCTCCCATCCACATCCAACAAGTCCTCCATACTCATCCCATTGTGTGGTTGATGCCCGGCCGAAAGAGTCACTGGATGCACCTCCGTTGTAGAATCAACACACTTTTGGTGCAACTCTAAATGACACATCTGAATGCAATGGCCAAATGGCACGACCTAGAAGAATCCTCCACTTTGTGCGCCTGTGGAGGAGAAAAGACCTGTATGCTTGCCCACCGTGCCCTGCCTCATGAAAACTAGAATATTTGAATATATTTATAATTTAATAATGAAATATAATAATAATAATAAACTACAATATTTGGATATATTTATAATTGAATAATAAAATATGTAATAATAAACAATATTTGAATATATTTATAATTTAACAATGAAATACATAATATACTACAATATTTGAATATATTTATGATTCATGAAATATAATAATAATAAACTGCAATATTTGACTATATAATTTAATAATGCAATATATAATAATAATAAACTACAATATTTGGATATATTTATAATTCAATAATGAAATATAATAATATTAAACTGCATTAAGTGAATATTTATAATTTAACAAGGAAATATAATAATAATAAACCGCAATATTTGAATATATTTATAATTTAACAATGAAATACATAATAATAAAGTACAATATTTGAATATATTTATAATTTAATAATGAAATATAATAATAATAAGCTACAATATTTGAATATATTTATAATTTAATAATGAAATATAATAATAATAAGCTACAATATTTGAATATATTTATAATTTAATAATGAAATATAATAATAATAAGCTACAATATTTGAATATATTTATAATTTAATAATAAAATATTATATTTGAATATATAATTTAATAATGAAATATAATAATAATAATAATAATAATAATAAACTACAATATTTGAATATATTTATAATTTAATAATGGAATATATAATAATAAGCTACAATTTGTGAGTATGTATAATTTAATAATGAAATACATAATAATAAACTATAATATTTGAATATATTTATAATTCAATAATGAAATAATAAACAACATCTGAATATATTTATAATTTAATAATGCAATATATAATAATAATAATAAACTACAATATTTGGATATATTTATAATTTAATAATGAATTATTATAATAATAAACCACAATATTTGAATATATAATATAATAAATATAATAATAAACTACAATATTTGAATATATTTATAATTTAATAATGAAATATATAATAATAATAAACTGCAATATTTGAATATATTTCTAATTCAATAATGAAATATATAATAATAATAAACTGCAATATTTGAATATATTTCTAATTCAATAATGAAATATATAATAATAATAAACTGCAATATTTGAATATATTTCTAATTCAATAATGAAATATATAATAATAATAAACTGCAATATTTGAATATATTTCTAATTCAATAATGAAATATAAAATAATAAACTACAATATTTGGATATATTTTATAATTCAGTAATGAAATATAAACTACAATATCTGAGTATATTTTTAATTCAATAATGAAATATAATAATAATAAACCACAATTTTTGAATATATTTATAATTTAATAATGGAATATATAATAACCTACAATATGTGAATATGTATAATTTAATAATGAAATACATAATAATAAACGGCAATATTTGGATATATTTTGTAATTCAATAATGAAATATAATAATAATAAGCTACAATATTTGAATATATTTATAATATAATAATGAAATATATAAGAATAATAAACTACAATATTTGAATATATTTATAATTTAATAATGAAATATATAATAATAAATTGCAATATGTGAATATTTATAATTTAATGACAAACAATAATAAACTACAATGTTTGAATATATTTATAATTCAATAATGGAATATAATACCAATAGTAATAATCTAGCATTGGACAGAACAGGCGCTCTATAGAAACCAATGGGAATGACGTCATTAGGCTTGCCTAGATTTCCAAGCCGCCGGAGAGGGAGACGCTCTAGTAAGCCTCCACTCGGAGATTCCCTAAGCGCCATAGAGCTGCTTTGCCTGAGTACCAGAGCGTCGCTTTGATTTCCGGTAAAAAACCGGAAGTGAGGCCTAGCCCGAAGCGCCTCCTTCCTTTCCTAGCGCTCACCCTCCGCAGCGTCTCCTGGTTCACCTCCGCTTTGCCCCGCACCCGCTCGGGCAAGAAGACCACCGACATGAGGAGGCACCGAGAGGGCGGAAGGTGAGAGAGAGAGAGAGAGAGAGAGAGAACTTCGTGAGGCGGAGAGGCAAAGGATTGTGGGGGAAAAAAAGAGAGACTCTGACGTCATCCTTAACGCGATTGGTCAGCTTTGTTTCTGACGTCATCCTCAAAGACCCCGCCCTCCGCTGCGGATTGGTCAGGGGAGTTCGCCGAGGCGCGCGCTCCTATTGGTCGGCGGGAACGCGAGGCGCGATTGGCTGAATCGTGGAAACCGAGCCAAGGAAGGAAGGGAGGGGGCGGGACCCGCGCGGGTTGCGTTGCCAAGGCTCCCGTCGTCAAGCAGCAGCCAATCAGGGCGCGCGGAGGAGATGCCTGGCAGGCCAGTCGGGCCTAGCCGGAGAAGGAGGCAAACAGGAGCCTCGGAGGTAGTAGATTCTCTATGTATTCCTATCTCTTGTCCATATAGTTCCTCACAGAGCTTGCCCATTGATTCATTTAGATAGTTTCTCCATATATTTACAAAATATAATGATATTAATATAGTTTGTGAATGTATTTACTCATAGAGCTCAGGCCTGGGCCAACTTGGGCCCTCCCTCCAGGTGTTTTTGGACTCCAACTCCCACAATTCCTAACATTCCTTCTTTGCCAGTGTTGATGTGGAGAGTATCTGGTTTGCCCACCCTGGAACAGGCAACATAGAATTCTTCTTCAGGGGTCCCTTTCAAATCTATGATACTATATCTCTCTCTCTGTGTGAATCATATGTATCTATCTCTGGATGGCTCTCTGTCAGGAGGGCTTTGATTACCTTTTCTTGCCCTGGTGAAGGGAGTTGGACTGGGTGGCCTTCAGTATTTTCTGTTGAAGCTCCAACTGGTCCAACTTACAAAGATGAGAGGCCCCACTTACCTCTCCGAACGCATCTCCTCCTATGAACCGACTAGGACATTAAGATCGTCCGGGGAGGCCCTGCTCTCGGTCCCGCCTGCGTCACAGGCGCGGTTGGCGGGGACGAGGGACAGGGCCTTCTCGGTGGTGGCCCCTCGGCTATGGAATGCCTTACCTGTAGACATCAGACAGGCACCATCGTTGCTGGCGTTCCGGAGGAAGGTTAAGACTTGGCTCTACGAACAAGCGTTTGGCTAAACAGTGCAACTGAACACAGGAAGACGGTAAATTTGAACATAGGAAATGGTACAAGGATTACGAGAACGGATTCTGATTTGTTATTGAGGCGTTATGATATGATAATGATTGTTTGATTTTGTCTGCTGTATATGATGTGTTTTAATCGCTTAGGATATTGTTGTGATAACCTGTATTGTGTAAACCGCATTGAGTCGCCTAATTAGGCTGAAAAATGTGGTATAGAAATAAAGCAAATAAATAAATAAATAATAGAATCAGATGCTAACTGGGGGCCCTTACAGAGAGAGGTCAACCCTCCTGTTCAAGGAGCTCCACTGGCTGCCGTTTATCTTCTGAGCCCAATTTAAGGTGCAGGTGCCCACCTACAAAGCCCTGAATGGTTTGGGACCATCCTACCTACGTGACCGCATCTCCGTCTACGAACCCACGCGTCCACTACGTTCATCTGGAGAGGCCCTGCTCGTGATCCCGCCTGCGTCGCAAGCGCGTTTGGTGGGGACACGACAGGGCCTTTTCCGTGGTGGCCCCCCAACTCTGGAACACCCTCCCCAAAGATCTTAGACAGGCCCCTACATTGGCTGTCTTCAGAAAGAACTTGAAGACCTGGCTTTTCCGATGCGCCTTCCCAGATTAGGAAATCTCCACTACCAAGTCCAATAAGCACTTTACCAGAACCAATGATTGCTGCACATCGCACATCGCACTTGCCCTAGAAGCCTTATATACACCTCCTGTCACATCAGCACTTTTAATTCTTGTACCCATTACCTCTGGCCCGGCCCAGTTTTATTGTGTTTTAGTGTATTGTGCCTGTTGTTCATTTTGCTTTATTCTGTTTTTAATTGTTTGATTTGCCTAGATTGTATTGTTATGTTGTGTGTTGAGGCCTCGGCCTGTGTAAGCCACATCGAATCCTTCCGGGAGATGCTAGCAGGGTACAAATAAAGTTTAATAATAATAATAATAATTGGTCATGGGGGTTCTTTGTGGGAAATTTGCCCCAATTCTGTCATTTGTGGGGTTCAGAATGCTCTTTGATTGTAGGTGAACTATAAATCCCAGTAAATACAAATCCCAAATGTCAAGCTCTATTTCCTCCAAACTCCATCTGTGTTCATATTTGGGCATATGGAATATTTGTGCCAAGTTTGGTCCAGATCCATCATTGTTTGAGTCCAAAGTGCTCTCTGGATGTATGTAAACTACAACTCCCAAACTCAAGGTCAATGCGCACCAAACCCTTGTAGTATTTTCTGTTGGCCATGGGAGTTCCGTGCCCCAAGAATGGTTCAGTGCCATAATTGGTGGAGTTCGGAATGCTCTTTGATTGTAGGTGAACTATAAATCCCAGAAACTACAACTCAAATGTCAAGGTCTATTTTCCCCAAACTCCATCTGTGTTCATATTTGGGCATATGGAATATTTGTGTCAAGTTTGGTTCAGATCCATCATTGTTTGAGTCCACAGTGCTCTCTGGATGTAGGTGAAGTACAACTCCCAAACTCAAGGTCAATGCCCACCAGACCCTTCTGGTGTTTTCTGTTAGTCGTGGAAGTCCATCATTGGTGGAGTTCAGAATTCTCTTTGATTGTAGGTGAACTATAAATCCCAAATGTCAAGGTCTATTTCCTCCAAACTCCATCTGTGTTCATATTTGGGCATATGGAATATTCGTGCCAAGTTTGGTCCAGATCCATCATTGTTTGAGTCCACAGTGCTCTCTGGATGTGGGTGAACTATAATTCCCAAACTCATGGTCAATGCCCACCAAAACCTTCTGGTGTTTTCTGTTGGTAATGGGAGCCCTGTATGCCACGTTTGTTTCAATGCCATAATTGGTGGGGTTCAGAATGCTCTTTGATTGTAGGTGAACTATAAATCCCAGCAACGACAATTCCCAAATGACAAAATCAATTTTTTTGAGTGGAGGACATACATTGGACTGTTAGGTGTCTTGTGTCCAAATTTGGTGTCAATTCCCCCAGTGGTTTTTGAGTTCTGATGGTATCACAAACGAACATTACATTTTTATATAGATTGCTTTCTTAATTTTATGTTTATGTTGTTTACTTTGTATGTATTGACTATGTTATTTGGAAACCGCTCTGAGTCCCCTCGGGGAGATAGAGCTGTATATAAATAAAGTTTTGTTGTTGTTGTTGTCTGTTGTCATTATTATTTAGAGAGGGAAAGCATGAAATAATAATAATAATTTTTATTAATAATAGAAGAGTGAATAGTGAAGATGCCATTGTTGACAAAGAAGATTATTGACCTTATTGATATTGAGTCTATGTGTTATTGATAGCAATAGTGAAGAAAGGAGTGAGACACAGGAGATGGACGAAGGAGTAATACAGAGGCTTCTGTTTGTAATTGGTTTGCAAACACTTCCAGGAAACGTTGGCTTTAATTCCTGATCTGCAAGGCCATCTTTTCCCAGCTGTGCTTGAATCCCACTTAATGAGCCTCATCCTATAAATCTTTCTCCTTCCTTCCTTCCTTCTTTCTTCTCCAGGTTGTGATGAGAGCTGCTTCCTGACCTCCGCCTCGCTTCCTGGAGAATCCAAGAAGACCTCCGTATCATCCAGACTTGGTCCGTTGCCGAATCTCCTGCAGGACGGAAGACAAGTCGGAGCCGGGCTTCTGGGGAGGCTTGAGCCCCATTGATGCTCCTGAAGACAAGGACTCTTTGGCGGAAGAAGGAGGAGAAGAAGAGCGCCCTTTCTGCCCAGGGGCCCCAAGATGGCTGAGGCCGCTGTCGCCACCAAGACGGCCTGGAAGTTGCGTGAGTTGCGTCTCCTCTCACCTTATCTGTTCTGTCCATACTGACCATTTAATGCAGTTCCAAACTGGGTTCACATTGCTGTGGTCAGGCAGTCAACTCCAAGAGAAGCATGCAAAAACAAGCCCTTCGTGTGGTAGCTCCTGAGTTTCCTCGGTCTCACCGTTTGCACACTTTCTCCAATATTGGTTTGAAACCGACTTAAATGGTCAGTGCAAACGGGGCTGCCTTCCATCTCGGTTCCTCCCTTGAATTCCAAACACAGCCCCAAGGAAACCCAGTAGTTTATATTGGATCCTTTGGCTTAGAGAAGAGAAGGCCATCTGTCGAGAGGGTTTTGATGGTGCTTTTCTTGCCTGACAGAACAGGTTTGGACTGGATGACCTTTGGACATCCCTCCCAACTATATTTATTGATTTATTATTTTTACGAGAGAGTTTTGATTGTGCTTTTCTTGCCTGACAGAAAGGGTGTGGACTGGATGACCTTTGGAGGTCCCTCCCAACTATATTTATTGATTCAGTTCTTGTGGGTTTTTTCGGGCTATATGGCCATGTTCTAGAGGCATTTCTCCTGACGTTTCGCCTGCATCTATGGCAAGCATCCTCAGAGGTGATTCCAGCCATGAAAGCCTTCGACAATATATTTATTGATTTATTATTTTTACGAGAGGGTTTTGATTGTGCTTTTCTTGCCTGACAGAAAGGGTTTGGACTGGATGACCTTTGGAGGTCCCTCCCAACTATATTTATCTATTTCTTTTATTTCAAATATTTGTACCCTGCCCTTCTCTACTCCTGAAGGGGGACTCAGGGCCCCCTAGAGATCTATTGTTACTGTTGTTAGGGCTGGATGACCATCTGCCATGAGGGCTTTGGGGGTCTCTTCCAACTATTCCACAGGTATATGAACCCTTTTTCCTACTTCCAACAGACCTCAGTACCTCTGAGGATGCTTGCCATAGATGCAGGCAAAACGTCAGGAGAAAATGCCTCTAGAACATGGTCATATAGCCCGAAAAAACCTACAACAACCCAGTGATTCCACCCATGAAAGCCTTCAACAATACAATAATAATGCAATTACAATACAATAAGATAATGTAACAATAAATATAATAATGTAATATTATTTATTATTTATTTATTTAAAACATTTATATTCCGCCCTTCTCACCCCGAAGGGGACTCAATGCCTGGTTACAATACATAAACATTAAAAAACATTTATCAAAATATTAAAATACACAATTTAAAATAATACCATTTAAAACCGTCCTAGCCATCGGCATCATATCCAATTGGCCCTGTCAATTAATATAATTATAATATAATATAATATGTTGCAGGATACCCATCCAGTAGAAACAAAATTTGCGCAGTTTAATAAACTTTCCCCATGTTTTTATGATAAGACCAATTTGGAAATGATGTTGATAACCCAGGAACAAAAATCTTGTTACATAATGTATAATAATAATAATAATCTGCAAAATATAATAATAAAAATAATGCAATTACAGTACAATAAGATAATAGAACAATAAATATAATAATATAATATAATGTGCTGCAGGATGCCCATCCAGTAGAAACAAAATTTGTGCAGTTTAATAAACTTAATAAACTTGATTATGGGTGAACTATAATTCCCAGCAACTACATCTACCAAATGACTAAACCATAATTTTTGAGTGATGGTCACTCCTTGTATTGTGAGACGTTTTGTTGCCAAATTTGGTGTGATTTCGTTCATTGGTTCTTTGGTTTTTAAGGTACTCATGATGCACAGAGCATTTTTATAGATATAGTTGTGCTGCAGGATACCCATCCAGTAGAAACAAAATTTGTGCAGTTTAATAAACTTTTCCTGTGTTTTTATGAGAAGACCAATTAGGAAACGACGTTGATAACCCAGGAACACAAATCGTGCGCCTCCGCTTTTTTTTTTTGCAGAGGAGATCACAGCTCACAGCAGCAGCGTCTCTTCCCTGGTTCTGGGCAAGAGCTCCGGGCGACTTCTTGCCACCGGCGGAGAAGACTGCCGGGTCAACATCTGGTCCGTCAACAAGCCCAACTGCATCATGGTGAGGCCTGGCTCCGTCGAGAAGGGAGCAAACGAGGAAAGAGGGGCCTTTGGTGGCTACACACCTTGTTTTGTTGATCTGTTTCCTTGTTTGTTGTGTCTAGAGCCTGACTGGCCACACCACGCCGGTGGAGAGCGTGAAGATCAACACCAATGAAGAGCTGATCGTTGCCGGGTCTCAGTCCGGCTCCATTCGCATCTGGGACCTGGAGGCTGCCAAAAGTAGGTCCAATGTTGCGCCATCATTAATAATAATAATAATAATAATAATAATAATAATAATAATAATTTGAGGCCCTTGGCCATTTATTTCTTTGCATTTTTACAGGACGAAATGTGGTATCTAGATGTTGTGTGCCTTCACATTTAATAATAATAACAACAACAACAATAACAATATTGCATTTGTTACCTGCCTGACACACCATATTATGTTAAAAAGTGTAGACTTTAGAATCACTGAATAATGAGCTGGAGGGGAATGATGATGATGATGATGATGTATTTATTACCTGGCTGATGAACCATATTATGTTAAAAAGTGATGACTTCAGAGTCACAGAATTGTAGAGCTGGAAGGATCTATTATTATTATTATTATTATTATTATTATTATTATTATTATTATTCAAAAGCAAGCATAATGATCTTGTTCGCTGTGCACTAATCTTGTTGTGTGTCTAATGATGATGATGTATTTAATACCCCATCTCAAGCTGCAACAAGAGGCGTGTAATAAATATTATTATTGCTATTATTGTTGTTATTATTGTTATTTAACCCTGTTTTGCCCCATCTCAAACCGCAAGGAGGGGTGAGTTTTAAATAAATAATAATTATTGTTATTATTTTCATTTAACCCTGTTGTACCCTGTGCTCGCACTCCCACCTCCTTCGCAGACGCAATTGGTGGGGACGAGGGAGAGGGCCTTCTCGGTGGTGGCCCCCCAACTCTGGAACTCACTTTCCAAGGACATCAGACATGCCCCAACTCTGACAGTCTTTAGGAGGAGCCTGAAAACATTGTTGTTCCAGTGTGCCTTCCCAGAATAAGGAAAACCCTCAGCAATATGCCCTCAAAATGCACTTTACCATTGATTTAGGACTGATTGCGTTCCTTCCTCTCTCCTTGAAAATTCTACCCCAGTTATATCCTACCTTGTCCATGTCCAGCATTATTTTTAATTTTTAATTTTAACATTTGGCCCGGCCATTGGTTTTAAATGCTTGTGTGTTACTGTTGATTTATTGTTTATTTTTTTGTTATGTGATATATATTAATTGTATTGCTTTGATTGTTTTGTTATTGCTTTTGTTTATTGATGTACTGTGGGTTCGGCCTCATGTAAGCCGCACCGAGTCCCTCGGGGAGATGGTAGCGGGGTACAAATAAAGTTGTTTATTATTATTATTATTATTATTATTATTATTACCCCATCTCAAGCTGCAAGGAAAAGCAGGTAATAAATATATGTTGTTGTTGTTGTTATTTCAAACTGTTGTACCTTTTTGTGAGTGGCATAGAGAGGCAGGTAATAAATTTATTATTATTATTATTATTATTATTATTATTATTATTAAAAACAGTTCATAATACAAAATAGTGACATTTTCAAGCAATTGTTGCCTTTATCTTTTTTTAGTCCCCATTTTCTGAAGTTTGAGTATTTAAAATACCACGTGTGACTTAAATGGTTTTTCCTTTGCTTTGCTTCCCCAGTTCTCCGCACCTTAATGGGCCACAAAGCCAACATCTGCAGCCTGGATTTCCATCCGTTCGGGGGCTTCGTGGCCTCGGGATCCATGGACACCAACATTAAGGTGAGGCCTTCGCTGCTTTCCATCTATGACCATCTTGAACTGGTCAAAATGGGAGTTTTCCGTTGGGTTTCTCCAACATTGGAGCCTCTTGCCTCATTCTACAGAACCCGTTGAGGGCCATTTGCACTTGGAATAACTTTAGGCTCTTTTGTCATTTCAAGCCAATGTTTTGCGGATGGTTCAGGACTCTTCTTAGGTTCCTATATATGTGCGTGTGCGTGTGCATACATACGTGGGTGGGTCAAAAAGTTTTTCCTTCTGTGTCATCACAAACGTTATGAATGAACCTGTAACATTTATTCATTTACTAGCTTGGGGACCCGGTGGTGCCCGGGTTTTTCTGAGAAAGGCATTGTGTGCCAAGGTTAGTTTTTATCAGTTATTTATGTAGCTCACAGTGCACTTGGGAAGTTAGTGAAGGTACTGCAAGTCCCATGGTCCAGCCTCCTCCAAACCGCACCAGAATGTAGTGCTCTGTGTGCCAAGTTTGGTCTTCATCAGTCATTGAACATGGGTCGCAGTGGTCTCGGAAAGTGAGTGGAGGTACTTCAAGTCCCATCATCCATGGTCCACCCTCCTTCTGTAGTGCAGTAGGATGCAGAATGGTTCGTGGGGATTCTTTGTGCCAAGTTTGGTCTTTATCAGTCTTGGTTGGGGGCCGCAGTGGTTTGTGGGATATGAAGGGTTTGAAAGTACTACAAATCCCATCATCCATTGTCTGTCCTCCCCCAAACCTCACCAGGATGTAAAGGTAGCCATGAGGGTTATGAGTGCCAACTTTGGTCTTTATCAGTTATTGGATGAGGGTTGCAGCGGTCTTGGGAAGTGAGTGGAGGTACTTCAAGTCCCATCATCCATGGCCCTCCCTTCTCCAAACTGCAGTAGGATGTAGAGTGGGTCATGGGGGCTCTGTGTGCCAAGTTTGGTCTTCATCGGTCTTTGTTGGGGGCCATAGTGGTCTGTGGGAACCAAAGCATTTGAAAGTACTACATATCCTATAATCCGTGGTCCAACTCCCCCAAACCGCACCAGGATGTAAAGTGGGTCATGGGGGTTATGTGTGCCAAGTCTAGTCCAGGTTCACCATGCGTAGCAGTCACAGTGGCTTGTGAAAGTGGCAGCCAATCAGAAAGCTGCCACATACACCGCCCTACCTCCCACTGCATACAAACACTGACTTTTATTATATACATAGATAGATTTATTTATTTTTGTCGTGTCAGGAGCGACTTGAGAAACTGCAAGTCGCTTCTGGTGTGAGAGAATTGGCCGTCTGCAAGGACGTTGTCCAGGGGACGCCCGGATGATATGATGTTTTTATTTATTAATATTTTATGTATGTATGTATGTATTTATTTATAGATTTATTTGCAGTATTTATATTCCACCATTCTCACCCTGAAGGGGACTCAGGGCGGATTACAATGCAAACGTTCAATGCCGCTTTTAGACATACAAGACAGACAGATAGCGGTAGTTTGGCATTTTCCAATTTCAGCGTCTGGAGGTTATTCCACAAGGAGGTGCTGTCACTTCATCCACTATGAGGCCAAGCCCTTTGGATCGTAGTATTTCCTCCTTGTTCACCAGCATTTTTGTGGTGTCGTAAAATACCTCCCTGCTTTAAACAGTGCCTAATTTCTCTAATTTTTGTTTTCGGACTGCTTTAGGTGGACAGTAAGCTAGGCTTAATAGTCGGGTGCTCAATCTGAATTTACCACTTTCTGGTTGGCAGTGATCTATTGCTGGCTGGCGATTAACCAGCTGTGCTGCAGCCCGGCCTTGTAGAAGTTGCTCCAGATCGCATCCTGAACTGTCCTCTACACAAAACTACTGTTCAACATAGCCACCATCAATTTGGACATATTTGCGCCATCGTTTAACCCAGGCATCTGAACCATTTTGGAAAAATTCAGGGTTTTGCTTGGTGGCTCATGATTTTGAAGCTTTTTAAAACATCATTCAAATCATTGAATCTGAAACCATGCAGAAGTCCAAAAAGACAACCTTGAAGACAGCATTCTAAATCTGTTTGACCACATTATTTAGCAATGTTGTCTTGTTTCCCTTTTGTGCAGCTTTGGGATGTGAGAAGGAAAGGCTGCGTCTTCAGGTACAAGGTAAGAATAATAATAATGATAATAATGATAATAATAATGATAATAATAGTGATAATAATAATAGTGATAATTGTATTTCTTGTCTTTTCTTATGACTCAAGGTCACAGCATTGTAATAATAATGATAATGATGATGATGATGATGATAATAATAATAATTGTATTTTTTACTTGTCTTTTCTTATGGCTCAAGGTCACAGCAGAGTCAAAACATGCAAACATTGCAAAAATTCTATAGACACGCATATTAAAATGTAGTTCTATAAAAAATATATATAATTTCCAAAAAAAGTGTTTCAAATGTAAAGCACTTTGGCAGGTCAGAAGCTTTTTGTGCCAGCAAATGAATAATCATATAATAGAATACAGTAATAATTAATACAATTACAATACAAATATTTATTTATTTATGACATTTATATGCCGCCTTTCTCGCCCAGAAGGGGACTCAGAGAGGCTTACAAGTAATATGTAAATACTATATATTATATTATTACCATAGCTCAATATTAGTATTATATATTATTATATTGTGCTATATCATTATATTGTAATATTATTAATAATATTACATGCAATGTAAAATATATAATTGTAATATTGTATTATTAGTAGTAGTAGTATATTGTATTACACCATAATATCAATATTATAAGTATATTATATTATATTATATTATATTATCAGCACAGTGAAGGAGACAAGGTGGAACTGTCATCCTGGCCCCTCTCCTTACTCTGGTGGGTAGTTCACCTACAATCCCCAAACTCCAACAGTGTTCACATTTGGG